GCACCTCGTCATCCTCGACTCTATCGGGGTAGGGGGATCAAAAACCACGCGCAATGGGGGGAAAAAAAACAAACAACAACAACAACAACAACCCCCGGCGCGCAAGCACAGGGCGCAATAAGGAGCAACGCGTGTGTATACACCCCGGTATCGGCCGAGTCAAAGAACACGCTTAGCTCGGCCTCGCGAGTCATCACCAGAGCGTCCGCGGCGATTTTCGGGGTAGACCCGGTGGCTCGAGGGCGGCGTCGCCGCCACCCATTGGTCCGCGACCCCCGGGCTCTCGCGAAGGCGGGATCAGGAGGCACGCTCGCTCTTTCGTGCACGCGTACAACACAGAGACACGTGATAGGGAGGGGGGGGGGGGGGGGGCAGAGAGAGAGAGAGGGCGAAAAGGGAAAAGTACATCGAAGCGCGGCCAAGAGGGAGAGAGGGCTGTAGGATTTAACCTATAGCCGCGGCGGCACGTTTGACGTGCCGCGTCGCCCCCCCCCTTTCTTCTTCCTCCTTCCTGTTGCCCTTTCCTCGGCCAAACGTGACTCGTCTTTCGCGAGGGGGTTGGCGCATGCGCCCTCCGCTCGTACGTACGGGGGGATGGAAAACACGCACACGGCTGATACGGGGGTGGTGGTGGTGTGTGAGCTTGCGCGCGTTGCTCGGGACGCCGGGGATCGAGTGCTGCGTGGCTGTATCACCGTCGGGGTTGTTGCTGTCACTGCTGCGAGTGGGGGGCTGGGGGGGGGTGGTGGAGGTGAAAAATAAGGAAGTATTAATTTAGCTCGGCGGAGAGATGATGCTTGCTCACTTTTGCGCGGCGGGTGAGGTTCATTATTGGAGAGTGAAAGATTGAGAGGATTTCGGGGAGGGACATCCCAGCTGGGATGGGAGTCGTTGCAATATATATCGTGCAACGAAAATTATGATTTTTCAATGTGGAATACATGTAAATTAATGCACTGTATTTTGGCCCATTAAAAACGAGGCAACGCCCACTCTTCCGACCATCACAAAGTCTGATTCCAATATTTATACTTTTTAACATGCGTGTAATGTGTTTAACGAATTCTCGTTGTTACTTTTCACACGTTTCAACAACTCGCAGCGTCATTTCTGAAAAACATGATTTTATATATTTTAAATGTTGCATCTTTGTTTTCAAATGTTTCTCTTCGTGCCACCGTCAAGAGCTTGAAGAAAAGTTGTAAAAGAATTTGTACTCATTGCAAAACTCCTTTTGACGACGGTATCCCTGCGGGTTCGCCCATTTTTCCTTTTTTTGCATACATTGTTATATGGATGATTTAGAGACTAATTGTTTGTTTCGACTAAAACAAAAAACACACACAAACACAATTGTGTACCAAATTTTTATTTTTGCTACGTAAATGACGTTGTAATATATCCAAAAACCTCTAAAACTCTTAGAGTATACTCAATTTTATCATCCGATATAACTATGCTAAGTATACTGTAGCAAAAATGTATAACTCGTCGTAATAATTTTCTTAAAAAACTTAACGTTTTCCTTACATTTTCGTAATAATTTTTACCCACATTTCAAATAATTCGAACAAGTTCAACCCTCCCCCGTACCTTCAGCCCTTTTGTTACTAATTATAAAAATAGCATCACTTAAGAAACGTTATATTTATCATAAATAGTAACACTCGTTAGAATCATTAGAAAACAAAACACACAAAATTTGATCAACACATAAAGCAAAATCTACAACATACCTCGACGAGAATTTTCAATTTTCTCATGATATATGAATAATGTGCGAAAAGGGGATGTAGGATTTCAGCGATGAGCATAGCATCGACACGTACCGGTACTACACCGATATAAAATCATCTCACCTACTCGAGATGTGAGGTAATCTCCATCTCTTTGTACAATAGTATACCGATTCACCGTTTAATTCCGTTTAAATGTAATGTGTGTTTTTAATTTCACATCGTTAAAGCTCACAGCGAGCTCCTCCAACACAACGTCTACGCGTACAGTTTTCCATCCTGTTTTCGCATTCGCACCTATTGAAGATTACGTGACATTTCCACCGCGTTTAGAAACACACGTATATATATATATATATATACCTACACTGCACGAGAAGGAACAATCATATTAGCTGATTTCCAACGAGGCACGCTTCCTTAATCGCGTCTAGCTCGCGCGCGCCTCGGTATTTAGCCCTCATCCCTTTTATCTCCCAGCTCTTTGTGAATGTCACTTTCCGTACCCCCCCCCCCCTGCAGCCCCATCTTCGGCATTATGTTTTTACTGCAGTGCATGTACTATGTATATAGATTATGGAAAAAAAAAACAAAAAAAAAAAAAAAAAATCGTAAAAATCAACGAGACAAAGTTAAGCTTGACCCCTGGAAAAATTGAAAAATATTACGAATAGCCCAATATCGTGTGCGAGTTGGACATCAGTCACGAGTCACGAATATATCCGGGTACGAAACTCCGCCATGTTGTAGCAGCCCCGTGGTCGCGGTGGCTCCCGATCAAGGTGTCGTTCTCGGGCAACCCCATAAGCAGGAGATCGAACGGCCGCGATGTCTGCCCACAAAGTGTCTCTCCGAGAGAGAGCTTTGGGGTGGGTGGGGGGGTACATATATATATATGTATAGGGGAGCGAGAAAGAGTCAAGGGGTAGTAATAGTCGAAAGATTCGCGGGAGGGTGGGGCGCGTTGGTTATCCGGGGGTAGGGGGGGGCATGGGTGCCACGCCCCCCACGAGAGCTAGGCCAGCCAATGAGGGTGGCATGTCGCGACGCTATGGCCTCCGCCAATGGGATTACCCTCTGACACGGTCTTTCGCTTGTCACGAGAGTTCGCGGGGGGGGGTTGGTATGGTTTGAACGTTACTGCAGCTTTTACGTGTGTGTATATACATATGTACGTGTGCTTCGATGCTCCCTCCTCCTTTTTTTACTTTAATGTCACCTGCGTATGCATGGGGTTGAGAAACAATTCTTTTTTTTTTTTTTTACCATACAGGGCTGAGTTTTTGGGATTTTTCGTACAAATACGAGTTTTTTTTTGTTTCCTGCACATCATAGCCAAGTCAAGCTTGAAGACAAAATCAAACGGCCGTGGGTGTTTGGGTATTTACAGAACCAGCCTAAGCTTTGGTTCCTAGACAAGTTGGTTTTTTTGTTCCAACAACTCGGTGTTGTTTATTTTACTTAAAGTTTTGACCCGAGATGGTTCCATTTTTTTACTCGAATGTTCATTCATCGGTAATTTTGAACTTTTTTCAAAAATCAACAATAATAAAAAATGCTTGACAAACTTGAAACTCATCAATTGGCAAGGGAGCAAGCTATATTAACTTGATGCAACGGTAACCGCAAGTAGAAAAAACTCAATCACTTGTTGGTACTCAGTCGCCGGATATATCTTTTAGTTCTGATGAAACCGCCAAGTTTGAACGATTCACCCTGTTTCACAACAAATAAGAACCTTAGTTTTCCAACCAAATTTATTATGGTTCCTACGTTTTTTAAAGTTGAGAAATTACGGTTTAATTGAATTTTTTTTCTGTCTTTGCAAGAGTACTAATATAAATTTGAAAATAATTTTATAATTAAAACAATCGTGTTTGACTTAAAAGCAGCTAAATAAAAGATGTTCTGACAATATTGCTGGGTTGCATAAACAAGGATAGCTCATTGGGTTCACTTAATTACATCAAGGATTTTACATTAATGGAAATAGGTAAGCTATTGGAGAAGGTCTACTAATAATTACAGTAAACAATTGATTTGTAGTAGTAAAAAAATATATTTATGTATGCACTTTGAACCTAAAATTTTCCAACACTTTCTTAGAATATCATACAAATAACAAAACAATGCATGTATTTTATACTAAGTTATTACAGATTTTATAGCACATAGAATATCAATATTCTTGTTGTTTTGTACAAAAGTTTGATTCAAGGTATGATAAAGATACTTCTTACACAAAGTGATTCTGAACAAGGTTTTTAATTGAATTGGCAAGTTTTCTGAATTTTTTGTTGTAAAATCGATCAAAATCATACAAAAAGTCTATAAAGTATACTTTAGAGTATACACATGTATAAATTTACTTAGTTTGTGGTATAATTTTGTGCAAAATAAATTACATTCCGTCTGATGAGTGGCTGAATAATTAATTCAATCAATCACTCAAATATTTGTATTTTGCCTAAACCGACGTTATTTCTACAAAAATGTATGCTTTAAAGAACTTTTATCTTTAAGCAATGTAACAAAATGTAACCAAACTAAGCACTTGTAACACCTATATTTACTAAAAAAATAATGTTTTTCAACATATCCAAAATCTCACTGTGATGTGTTAACTTGAAAAAAAAAAAAAAAAAAAAAAAAAAATTAAAACGTATTTAATATAATTCAGTCCTAAAAAAAAAAAGAAAAAAAAAAAAGTTTTTCCATTTTGGTAAACTTGGAAAAGATTACTGTGACAGCCATGTCTATGACAGTAGTTCCTCAACTAAGTGGCATACATAGCCATTCAAAACATAACCTCTCTGCTGAAACTACAATTTTGTTACAACTTTGTTCATACGAGTTTCTAAATACTTATAAAAATATATACAGATGCTCAAAAACAATGGCTTGGATATATTCGCAAACTATTTGCGAACCTTTCCATGTAAAGTGAGTAAAAAAGTACAAAAAGTCAAGACAAAATTTTCTACAAGAATGCATTTTAAATTAAACACTTGTAGATAATCTTTTGATTTGCCTTTGTAAGCTTTCATAAAAAATCAAAACTTTTAAAAATACTTTCTTTACTGGATCTCACGAATTTTTAAATGCACTCACACAGCACAACATACTCTTGCGTCCATCTACATTCAATTCTCTATTCTACATTAACATCTTAGTTTTATTTTTACCTATAAAATACTTTTCCTTGAATTCTAAAAAATATGAAAAATTTTGGTTTTAGTGACCGCAGCAATGAATACACTAATATTTTCTTCTCGTAGTTATTCGTTTGGTACTACATGTTGAAGAGATCACCAGCTGAAGGCAATGGTGCCAGTCCACCTGTGACATCTGGCAGTTGTGTTAAATCCGGAAGATTAGGAACATGAGATTTGACTTTTTCTCGCAAAGCGCGAGTCTTTTTTAGTTTCTGTTTGTATTCCTAAGAAATAAGTAAGATTTTTATTCAAACTACCTTATCTTATCGATCTGAAGTAAAATCAAATAATTAAAGAGTGGAATGAAATACCTCTAGTCTTGACTCAGCCTGTTGCAGCAGCTGTTGCTGGGACAAAGTGTAATACCTAAGCATCGCAGACAATCTCTTTCTGTCTTTCATTTCAGCCTGCAATCTACCGTTGTAATCGTCAAGCAAAGCTGTCGCTTCATTTACAGCCAGACTAAGACGTTCAGCGGACAAGTTATCCTTTAAATTTTCCAGTAGAGACTCCTGGGAAACTTCTGGTGGCAAGGATGCTATGCGCTCTCTTACTGCGGCATCTGATGAGGCTGCATTTTCTAGGTCCTGCAGTGAAATTATTAATTTTTTTACTCAAGTTTGATCAAACGACTTGTTTTTGAAATTACGTGTGTGAATAATCAAAGCTTGAAATCAAAGTAAACTAATGATTTGAAACGATTGGTTTATCAGTCATTTTTACTAGAGCGGATCAACTGTAACTATTGTTTACCATCATAACTTTGATGACTTCCTCAGTTTCAGGCGGATCGTCACCTGGTGTTCGTGGACTTAGCGTTATATGCAATTCTTTGGTACCATCGACCTCAACTTCAGTCTCCGATCTTTTTCGTTCCTTTCTTTCTTTCTGTAAAAATATATTTGTCAGTATACCAACATCCAAACGAATCCCCATAGATTAAAATAAGTAAAACGTTAAAATTTTATCATTAAATGAACAAGTACTTTTACATTTTCGACTTTGCGAATTTTCTTTGGTAGTGGCAATGGTGGTGTGCCAGGTTCATCATTAGATTCAGAATCGGGATCGAAAAATGTTGCCTTAAGCCTTGTAATTTGTGATTTATCGTAAATTCCTCTTTCCTCCCAAATACTTATTAACCTACAAGCTTTATATTTTGTTTTGTCGTCAAAATGTTTCATGTGCTCAAATGCCTTTGGTAAAACAGAAGCAAATGCCTTGCTGAGTTCAGGACCTTTCTTCTTGCTGTTTTGTATGATGTCATTTGCCAAGTACAAAAATATTAATTTGCGGTTGTCCTTAGCTGAATAATAAAAATTCTACATATTAAAAGGATGCTTTGAACATATATTATTATTATGATGTCGATGGAATATAAATATGGTATGAGATAAGTCTGAAGATTAAGGTAGAAGATACTAAAATATACGCTGGTGTAAGTTAAAGTGATTTTTTTTATCTAAACGCTAATTTGTGTACATGGGTCATTTTATGCAAACCACCATATTTCTTTTTCAAAGTATTGCGTGGGTGTAGGATATTAAAAAACAAATAAAAATATCAACAATTTAATGTAAAGTTCTTCAAATTTTTATTTTTATCTATGGATAGAAACTTCATGTTAAATTTTTAATTTTTTTACGCTGTAGTATCTTAAAGTCCGAGATGTAAGATACTTTAGAATATAACGTATTTTTTGGCTAAGCAGGTACGCAAAGTTTTAGTTGTGATATTGGATTTTGACATTTTTAAGTTGTTCATGGCTCTTAAGTTTGCAATGATGCATGCAAGGAAAACAAAAAAGATATATATTTTAAAGAAATTTTAAACATTATTTGATTAATCTATACATGCACGATGTTTTTTATCTAAAAAAATTTTCATTTTATTTTAATCGTATTATTTTCGATTTTTTAAAAGACGCGCGCAGCGGAAAAGTAGTTGCATTTGATAATATGGATGGCGCTTTAGATAGCAGTAGCAGTCAAAAAGTTAACGAACTTAAGCTACAACATAAACGCAGATTACATTTAATATCATATGTTTAAATTAAAATTATTAAAATAAAAACTACGGAGTAAAATTTAACATGCACGAGAAAAAAATTTAAATTAGGAAGATAATTTGAAACAAATACTTACATTTGCAGAACTCTTTGAACCAGACTTTTATAATAACTGAGGATTGTTTTCTATGATGGATCAGCCAGAGGGAGAGGGTCTGTATGCTCTGCTGCGAGGCATTAAGCTCCATAAGCTTCTTCACAAGTGCACCTTCTGTAAAACCAACCATCTTCTCCTATCTAATAATCACCATGTACTGAATACTTATGAATCTTGTGTTCTCTCACTCTACTTAACCTCTAGGTATACATCTGCAATCTGCTGCAAAATATTACTTCACTTTATTAAAGTTTAGCTTATACACACGTGCACAACACATTGGGTGTGTATGTACTATGCACTGTACTGCAAGTATAGTAAATACTGTAAATATATAGTAACTCACAATACATCCGTATTGGAAATTCCTTGAAAACGTTGCAAAACGTCCAAGTTTCTTCAATACTCTTTTGAAAGTTAATTTTTCATGAGCGAATTTTCAAGTTTTCCTTGATTTAATAATTAAACTACAATTAAATCCTTCAAGAAAACATTGTTAAAACGAGGCAAGTGCAGAAAGTGGCGGAATGAAGGAGTGAACACTGCTTACTGCACACTATTCGCGGTTGAGCACGTTAAGCGGGAAGATTGAAAATTGAATTTCTATTGGCCAGTTCCAGTAACATAACCTCTTTCACTGGTGGATTTCATACTTCGCGCTTAATAGACCAACAGCTGAGGCCCGAAGATAGTAGACAATCTAAACCAGCCGCCACACTCTACAGAATTTAAAAATCGTATGATTAGGAAAGATCCGAAATATTTTTATTATATTTTATTCTGGTAAAGAGTTATGTAGCAATCTAAGATCCTTTTTTTAAAGGTCGAATTTCGAGAAGAAAATTGATTCTAATCTAGCCGCAAATAGCACTTAATTAGTAAACTTTTTATTTTCTATTCGTTGGTCAAAGTTGCAGCTAGTTTATAAAATCGACTACATGTTACTACTTTAATTACCACATAACTCTTCACCAGAACGAAATATAACGAAAAATATTTCGGATCTCCACGAATCATGAGATTTCTCGGTTCTGGTGAGAGTGGCGGCTCGTTTAGATTTTCGACCACCCTTGGGCCCCAACTCTTGGTCCATAATAACAAATTGAGCTATATGGCTAGTTCACACGTAAAGAAAAACGGATAGTACGATGCTTAGTAACTTAGTAATCTCGAGCAACTGAGAACTCAGTAATTTTAATTAATGTGAACCCCTCTAATGGTCCTATAATTTTTCCAAGAGTCATAGTGTAACGTACGGTAACCGTACCCGACCTAAGAGAGACAAATACTATACAAATACCGCGTGTTTTTTAACACAATTAAATTTTAATTTATTGTTACAGATCAATTAATAATTAAAAATTGATTGAATTCAATTCTAAATTGCAGTAACTTTCAGTTAACAACTAAATTTCATTATCAATTGAAAAAACTTTCAACTAACAAAGTTATTTTATTCTTGATGGAAGAAACTTTTGGTTGAAAATAAAATTTTAGTTGTTAATACTTATAATGTTTCGTTGAAAAATTAAATAATTTAGCTCGGAAATATAATTTTCCTTCGCACGTATGGTAATCGAGAAAAAAATGTATATTATATACACTGATAAAATACATGAATTTGGGTAGAAAATTAATTTTTTCCCCCTTAAGTTGCCAAAATAATTCACGATTCTGTAATGTTTACAGATTGTGGGTTAATGTATTAATGTATTAATAGGGGCTATGTTTATGATGTATTCTTTTCTTGTACAAAAAGGCGTTATTTTAAATTGCGACGAGGTGCGAATAAAACGGATCATGTGATTCATTTATTCAGGATATTTTACATACAACGAAGCTACGAGTTTTAGAAAATTTTCTTAGAAAAAATCTTTCAGGAATAACCATCAAATTCTAGCTATAAATGTTAAAACAAAATTTGGAAGATTTTTGTCTTTTTGTTGGTGTGCTTAAATAATTAAATCTGTATTTTCTCATGCCTTGGTTTATTTCTTCATAAAATGCGGAACTGTAAGATTGTTAGAAAAACGCAAACAGTTCCATGAGAATCCTGAAACTTGATGAATTAATCAGTAGTTTTTTTAAAGATAGATTTAGAAATTAAATTTTAATTTTAATTCAATTAACCAAGCATTTCTTTGACGAATAGTTAATTTAACATAATACGAAGAACATCCAAGGTAACAGAAAAATATTGATAAATATTATAAACCGTGCGTAAAAAAGTCACCCGAAACAAAAGCAAAACAAAAAAAGCACAGTATTCCAATCAACATCAGCAACCCATCACCCGATGGACTCGTGACAGCTATGTGTAATGAACCTTCACTCAAAATTAAGAAAAAAAAAAAAAAAAAAAAAAAAAAATGCCTCGTAAAGTTCACAAACCATGCAACAATAATTAAGGCACCGATTTACCAGGTGTAGCCGCGACGCCGCGCATTAAGTCTCTCTCTCTTCTCTTTCTCTCTTTTTGTACGCGTGCAAACACCGTATAAAGCCGGAACCCGTGCAACGCGAGCCGCCAGTTTAACGTCATAGCTCCGTTAAAGTGCTTCGGCTTCGAAAGGGTCGGCTCTTATTTACCATCGCCCAATACCTCGCGCTCTCATTGCTGTGCTCGAATTTTCCAGTTTTCTTTCAAGCTCGCAACAAAAGGGGAAAAAAAAATCCAGGCAGTGCGCTGATTTCAATAAATCGTCTCGTAGAGAGAATTAAAAAAAAAAATTTTGTTTTTTATTTTATAGTAAATTGTTTGCAGCTCACTTTTTGTAATTTGAAACAAAAAAAATCTTTTTTTCCAATTAATTTTTTTATTTTATGTGTATCGTACTGTTACTCCGGGATGACAGACAAGTAATCTCGTCTTGTAATTCAACACCAGCAGTGCTCGCAAAAAAAAAAAAAAAAAAAAATTCGGGACTGCATCGCACCTGTTCGACGAAGGTGCATTCGAGAGCTAAAATTTAAAGCTGATTGCGCGAAAATTACACGCTACGGAAGAGCGCAGGAAATCGTTTCCACGCCAATAGAGTAACAAGTCGATTTCGCTTATAAAAACTACAACGTTGCTCTGTACGAGAAAATAATTTTTTTAACAAACGTTTGATTAACCGTTTTCTTAAAAATCTACGATACACTGCCTATGAAAAATTGAGCGGGTCTAAAGAACAAAACTAAAAAACATAATCCAAGTATACTCTGCGATACCAGGCAGTTTCGAGTGTTGTATTGACCCTCTGTCTTCAGTCGGCGATTAAAATTTGCCATGTAAAAAGGTTAAAGTGTCGGAGAAAAAAAAAAAAAAAAAAAAGAAATCTCGTACTAGACCACTTTTACGTTTATTTATAACTGTTTTTTCGTGCCAGCTCACATCTGTTTTCCGATCTCTTCAGGCGGTCCCGACCCATATATTTTATTCATCAGAATAATTTACCATTTTGAGTGATTGCACGAAAACGTTACCGCTTATCACGTCGATGTCATGTGATAATTTATCAACTGGTCACGTGGTTTAAAACACTTTGCCAGACACAATTGCCGAAATTGCAAATGTGCGGTCCCTCGAAAACCATCTCGTAGGGTTGACTCGACGTGCGAATAAATAAAAAACAAAAGACTCCAATCACCATCGCTCACACGCTTATATATATATATGTGTATGCGAGTATGCACGTAACATCATCCAACATTTATCATCATCTTGGTATGGCACTGTATGTATATTTATATACACAGGCGTGCTTGGTCATGTGTTTCCATACAAGATTAATCCTGCGCTTCGGGTAATAAATCACTCGTCGATTCAAACTTGGTGTACATCTCATTCTCTCTCTCTCTCTACTTATACCTCCGCTTCTTATTATATTGTGTTATATGTATATTACGCAGGTATACCTTGTATAATACACTGTAAGTGTGCATGAGCAAAGTCAGCCGGAAATAAGATCTTTGCTGACCGGAAAAGGAATGTGACGAAGACAAGATAGAAAAATACATGCCCATATTGCATCTGCGTTTAATTCTTCCTTCCTGTACGTTGTGAAAAGTTTTGTAATTTATTGTTTCGTTGAGGCACACGCGCAATCATTAGATAGCGAAATCGAAGAATTTTTTAATATATCCATGACAAAATGTCTCGTATAAAATCAGAGTAATTCAGCCTGATCATCAGCTATTTTAGTTATAAATGCTACGGTACAGTAGGTACGTTATTGCAAGATTATCCTTCATCGTTTATTAGAAAAGTAAAATATTTATTGGGAACTTGTTGAATTTAACAAAGTAAATATGATAAATCGTGAAAGAGTTTTACGGAATCTCATAAAGTTAATTTAGAATCGTATAAAAATGCCATTTCCACCATGAAAAATTGTCTGCACGACTTTACACAAAAGATATTTTTTTTTAATGTATACGTTTGATTAACCGTTTTCTTAAAAATCTACGATACACTGCCTATGAAAAATTGAGCGGGTCTAAAGAACAAAACTAAAAAACATAATCCAAGTATACTCTGCGATACCAGGCAGTTTCGAGTGTTGTATTGACCCTCTGTCTTCAGTCGGCGATTAAAATTTGCCATGTAAAAAGGTTAAAGTGTCGGAGAAAAAAAAAAAAAAAAAAAAGAAATCTCGTACTAGACCACTTTTACGTTTATTTATAACTGTTTTTTCGTGCCAGCTCACATCTGTTTTCCGATCTCTTCAGGCGGTCCCGACCCATATATTTTATTCATCAGAATAATTTACCATTTTGAGTGATTGCACGAAAACGTTACCGCTTATCACGTCGATGTCATGTGATAATTTATCAACTGGTCACGTGGTTTAAAACACTTTGCCAGACACAATTGCCGAAATTGCAAATGTGCGGTCCCTCGAAAACCATCTCGTAGGGTTGACTCGACGTGCGAATAAATAAAAAACAAAAGACTCCAATCACCATCGCTCACACGCTTATATATATATATGTGTATGCGAGTATGCACGTAACATCATCCAACATTTATCATCATCTTGGTATGGCACTGTATGTATATTTATATACACAGGCGTGCTTGGTCATGTGTTTCCATACAAGATTAATCCTGCGCTTCGGGTAATAAATCACTCGTCGATTCAAACTTGGTGTACATCTCATTCTCTCTCTCTCTCTACTTATACCTCCGCTTCTTATTATATTGTGTTATATGTATATTACGCAGGTATACCTTGTATAATACACTGTAAGTGTGCATGAGCAAAGTCAGCCGGAAATAAGATCTTTGCTGACCGGAAAAGGAATGTGACGAAGACAAGATAGAAAAATACATGCCCATATTGCATCTGCGTTTAATTCTTCCTTCCTGTACGTTGTGAAAAGTTTTGTAATTTATTGTTTCGTTGAGGCACACGCGCAATCATTAGATAGCGAAATCGAAGAATTTTTTAATATATCCATGACAAAATGTCTCGTATAAAATCAGAGTAATTCAGCCTGATCATCAGCTATTTTAGTTATAAATGCTACGGTACAGTAGGTACGTTATTGCAAGATTATCCTTCATCGTTTATTAGAAAAGTAAAATATTTATTGGGAACTTGTTGAATTTAACAAAGTAAATATGATAAATCGTGAAAGAGTTTTACGGAATCTCATAAAGTTAATTTAGAATCGTATAAAAATGCCATTTCCACCATGAAAAATTGTCTGCACGACTTTACACAAAAGATATTTTTTTTTAATGTATATTAATTATATATAATTTAAACAAGTGATGATAAAGCACGTTTTCAACGTATTTTCATAAAAATCAATCGATACTAGTTCCTATATGGTAGATTCAAAAGTATGAAATTATGATTCGTCAAATATTATAGCAATTTTATGAATTTTATGTGAAATATTAAATTAAACTCGTTTTAATGAATAATATTTTTAATAGTAGTTATATTTCATACATTCACACAAGCATCTCTAGAAGTTAATTTTGTATCATTGTAGGATCTACTTTTTCTTATAATTACAAACACCATAGGATAAACTCTAACATCTGAAATGTATTTCACTTGTTGCGAGTCCAACCTTTCAGTACAGTGATTGAAACAATGATGATTTTTGTTCATATGCACCATTTTTGGATGACGATACACCTTAAAGACCCAAAAGCCAACTCCGACATCTTCGATTCTCCGGTCACTGCTCTATCGCCATGTATTGGCCGACTCATCCCTCTCGAATGAATTACAAAGCCTATTCATATATAGTTAATACCACCCGCGAGTCATACGTCTTTTCATTATTCAAATTCCTACCCCTCTCCCGTCCCTCGTATACTTAACCATTTTGCCATCTGAAAAGCCACACGCACATACACTTTTCCCCAACTCATCGTGTCACGGTGTTTATTGCATGGCATTTTTTTTTTTTTTTTTTTTTCAACTTGACTGTCCCCCCCCCTTTTGATGCAGGAGACACTTTTCCATTCATATGCAATTACGCGTACACCCGAGCCCAGAATCACAAGTACCACTTTCTCGTCTAATCCGAGGCGAAAAGACACGAGAGGACACTTGGGACGGCGGATCGAGGCGCGTCGGAAAGGAGAAATGGGAAATACGTGACGTGTGACGCGATGGGCGCGGTTTCGCCCATGTGTATGTATGTATACATGTATACATTTACACACCGTAGGTACCCGTATATATACTTATTTTTATCATCGATATCGATCGGAGGTATACACTTATTTGCTCTTTATTGATGCACATATACTTATACGTTCCCAATCGGCTTTTCGCTAAGTGCCCTCGGATTGTGTCACTGACCAGAGGCTTTGTTGCGCGAAAAAATCCCCCATCGGCTCCATCATCCGGATTATCAAAAATTATTGCACACGTAGGGTATATATACTATTTGTTATTTATTTTCTCAAGTACGTACAAAAAATGATTGACAGTTCAACAGTAAGGGTACATAGGTCAGTCACGTACGCATCCAGTAAAATAAATTTATCGTAAAAAAAATAGAGCAAACGTATAAGAATACAACGTAACGTGGGTATAATATGATGGAGAGACACGCTCGTGTGCTTTCGAATTCGCGAAAAAAAAAAAAAAAACACATATGCTAGGTATTCGGAAAACATTTGAGACTTCGGACGAAAAGAGATAAGAGGCGACGAAGCGAGCGATTAGGTATTCTTAAGAAGACGCACGCGAGAGGCGTTATCGTCGAGGGTTTTGCAAGTAGCACGGAGTCTGAAAAGTCGCGCTTTGTGCATGCAATATATAAATAATTCATGCACGTGTGTTAAAAAAAAAAAAAAAAAAAAAAATAGATGCGCCGAACTTTCGCTCGTCTCTTGACCTGTTATTTTTGCGTGCGCGTAACGAGATGTGCTGGAAAATGTTGTTGATGCTTTGACGATGCAGGAGAATCAGTGGATTTTCTTAAATAACACGCGCTGATAGGATTGTTATCGGTGAAAAGGTTTACCGATCGATACGTACATTTGAGACGTGAATGGGACTTATTGTTCCCGAATTATTTTGATTCCAATGATTTATAATTTATTTACGTCTGAAGTTATTTATTATTTTTACTGATAGCACGTTACTGTTGTCAAATCTAAAAGACAAGTGAACGCCAATTATTGATTAATCTTTTTGGAAATAATATTATAGTTTTCTTCAATTTTTTCTAATTTTTTCTAAGCTGTTTGATCAAGAACTTTATATACTTTTTATGTCCATAGAATTCACAAACGAAATATATAATGCTCATCTTAAGTATTTATCATAAGACCAATGTTTTGACTTGCTAATCTTTGCATTGTCTCGAATCTTTGATACACATCTTGATTCGTCTTAATTTTCTCCAGACAAGTTCTATTGCTTAATAGCAAAAGTAATATCATTAAATCATTTAATTGTAAATTTTTCTATCCGTCAACTAAGTTGTACGTCACAAAAAGTTGTAAAAGTGATGATTCAAAGCAAACAATCGCACCATTACAACTCATACGTACAATGCGCCAGACGCAAAAATTGTCCCACATAATCGAACATCGGACAGGTAAAACACGGATAATTGACCGTGTCCCCCTATTTCTCCCTTTTCATAGAGCCTATATATATAAACAAACGCCCCCCCCCCCCAACTACTCCTATTTCTCTTGTCACTCATTTACAACATATATATACACACACGACACAGATGCCATCCCAGACAATAATATGAATGATAATGACAATAATCACCGGTCGAATAAGACACGTTGGCACATTGTAGCATTTACAGTTGTAGTGGTAATGGCTACTAGTACCTACATGTTGTACTCAGTTCAGGCGATAATGCCCCCCGTCCCCTCCTCTCTCTATTACTCCGGTGGAAAGGTAAATACATATACCTATATGGGCGCGACTCTTCCCATTTATCGCATTCATTCACGCGCACGATGCGCGTTTTATTGCCATTTTCCCGTCTCGACTCATCACGCCCTGAAAAATCATCAGTGGTTACAGTAACCCCCATCCCTTTCCCCCCTCACTACAATGTATTCTAGTATTACTATAGGAAAAATTGTACAATCGGATGATGCATAAGATTTCATTTTATTCAAAATTGTTTAAGCGTTCGATACAGGTTCAGGCGGGAGGGCAAAAAACGGGGATTTTTTCGAAAAACCCAACCCAACCTGGCTACTATCTTGTAACCTCGATACCAGAGGGCGCCAAATTCATCAACGTAACGGAATTGTCTCGCACAAGGAATTTTTTAGGTATATGTATTTTTAATAAAACGTTTATTGTCTCGAACTACGACGTATAACGGAAAACTGATTTTTGTCCGTTAAGCCGTGAGATTACAAAACGGCACTTACCTGTTCAACGAGGATTACAACATCGTCTCGTCGGGCAAGTACAGGGGTGCCGGAACGACTTTCGTCTACATCCGCCGTAACGATTACACCCCGGAAACTTTTTACGCCCCTGGCCCTCTGAGCTCGGCTGTCGACGTCACGGTACGTGGATCATATCAATTACGGGTTTTTCGATTCAATTCATCGAATTAAACGAATTGTTTTAGCTGATATACCAACATGGCGAGCCAGAAGTTTTTTACCAATACGAGCTGCCCGACCATCTCACAACGATATCAACTGTACCTCCAAAAGGTGATTTCCCAAAAGTTTTTCAAATGGTTTTCCGTATGTTTTGCGAACCCCGTCTCTGAAGTCCACGTGGAATTAGTTGCACGTGCAACCATTCACGAAGACGCGTTCGCGTAGCCTCTACGTGGATTCCATCGCGTGGATTTCGGCAACGGGGAATCTTTAAGTAAAATTATTTTGTTGCTTTAGTCGTTACCAAACCTTCCGATCTTGAAGTCTTGCCAACGCCACACTTGGAAAGGTAAAAATTGTCTTAAACATAAGATACAAATGAATGTCACATCGATCGGTGTGGTTCAGAAAAACAAGAGTTTCCCATTTTCAGTGCAATATCCGAAAACATAATGATGAGGGACGAAACGAGATCGTCGACGCCGATGCCGACGAAGAAACGCAGACGGCGAAAAAAGTACATGTGGACGTCCACTGGTTTCGCAAACTGCAGCAAGCCCTGTGGTGGTGGTAACTATATATTATTAATGACTATCGTTAAAACAGTGTGTATAATTTCCGATAAATCAAAGTATCTTGATGAATAATAAATGAATACGTGCTCGTTCGATGATGTTTTTTCATAATTACCCCCTATCCCCACTTGAAACAAAAAAAAGCATGTTTTTTTTACACAAATCGATTAAAAAGCGATTAATTGTTCAAATAGATTCGTGTAGAAAACAATTATTATTTTTTATGAGTCAGGAAATCAAAGAACCTCTACCCCCTGGGCTTCTCAAACATTTATCATTTTTATCGCCCAAGGTTTTCAGTCGAAAAAGTACATTTGCATGACGCAACGTACTCGAAAGCACGTGGCCAGCAAGAAGTGCGAGTCATTGGAAAAACCGAGATCAGAGCCCGTGGGATGCAACAACAACCCTTGCGAGCCTCAGTAAGGGCAAGAAGAATCTTTAATATGTAACATAGCGAATTTAGGGGTTGTTATATAAACTACGTGGTCAAGACACCAGAAAAAGAGACAAAATGACAGTGGGGGGGGGGGGGACATGGGGAGTTCGACATAGTTTCATTTGCATAAAAAACGTTATACCAAAAAAGCAACGTTCCAAGTAAAAGCTACATTGGACTACATAGGGGGGCCGTCAGATTGTGGTTGAAATGAAGTCACGTAGTTTACAGACAACCCCTCATACAAAGTATAGCGCAAACTCATTTTCTTTTTTTCTTTTTTTTTTTTTTTTTCAAACAGATGGGAAGGCACCCCTTGGAGCAAGTGCTCGGTAACGTGCGGCAACGGAACGCGTACGCGCCAACTGTACTGCATCAAAAAGATGGTGGACAGCTTGAAGATCCGCCTCGACGATCGCAACTGTGCCTCGCAGTCCACGGATGGAATAGCCCTCGTGGAAGCCTGCCACATGCCCGACTGCGACATGTACTCGACGGCCAAGCCCAGCCCGGCTTCCAAGCAACAAACATTGGGCCCTTCGCCACGCTGGAAAATTCAAAAGTGGTCACCGGTACGAATGTCTTTTTTTGTTGTTGTTGGCTATACCACTCGTACTTATACCGCGCCGATACTTTGTGGGATTCGCCAAAGGTCCAGTTAGAGTACACTTCAAATAAACAATGTTGTTAATTTCATGATGTACATGGAAGTGCTCTGTGACTTGCGGCAATGGCACGAGGACGAGACTCGTCACCTGCATCAATGCGTTGGGAAAGGGTTGTAACGCGGAGGACAAACCAGCCACCGAGGAAGCTTGCAGTATGGGCAACTGCAAGGCCACGTCGGTCGTTGGCAACGAGATTCCCGAGGCCCTCACTCACATGTCGTGGCTGTACAGCGCGTGGCCTGACGAGGTATTAAATGTTTTTTTTTTTTTTTTTATTATTATTATTATTATTATTATTATTATTATACACAATTTAATTATTTTGCGTATTTTATAAGGTTGATACAATAAAGTTCAATAAAGTTGGCAAAACGTCGGAAAAAGCTTATGATTTTTGTAAGTCAAAAGATCTTTTACTTCGTAAGGTATACTATAAAAATGGCAACACGCCACCTTTGTCCACTATAATATGCAAATTGAGGGCTGCAATGGTAAATCAAGGGTTTAATGTCTTAACGATTTCGCGCAAGGGATAACGTGATCGTTAATTTTGAGAGAGTTAAGCTTTAGGTCTTTGGTAGAGTATAGGTAAATTATCGAAGGACGGTGGCTTTTGTCAAAATTAAAGTTACGTTTTACGTATATCCGCGAAATCCGAATGTACATCGTAAGTGTTGGCGCGGTTGTAAAAAAAGCTGACACTCCGTTCAAGACACGTACGGGTTATTTTTTATTATTTTTTTCGTATTGAATGACCAACTTACCATTTATTCAGTGTTCAGCCGAATGTGGTTCGGGTATGATGTCGCGAAGGCTCTATTGCGAGAATTTCACGAAAAACGACACCTGCACCGAGGACAAAATGCCGATGATCAACAAAATCTGCGTCAGCCAGCAGTTGTGCGGACAGTGGTTCGTCGGGCCCTGGACGAAGGTAAGGACAAATTACTCCATGTCTATAGAATTTTTACGTATACATATAGGGTTGCATCTTTGCTAGTGTTCCTCTTCGTGCGACATGGGTATGGAGACGCGAGAGGTGGCTTGTGTTTCCAAATTCTTGGGGGTCCTGAAAGTCGTGCAGCCTTCCAATTGCCAGGGCAATCCACCGGAACAAACGAGGGGATGCATGGGTCCGCCTTGCAATGCCACTTGGTTCATGTCAGACTGGACTCGAGTAAATATAATCTATCTTTTTTTTTATTTAAGATGCCTATGTAGATTGTATTTTTAAGTTGATCGACATCATTAGTCTCCTTCAAATAAAAAAATTTTAAAAAACGTTTAGAGTATACAATTTATTCGTCTTAACGAAATGACTTGATAAATACTTGTTGCCTACGAAAGATATATCACAGAAACTTTGGTATACCGTAAACGGTAGCACCGAATGAAGGAATAAAAGAATTTCTTCATTTTCAAATGATGAGTAGAAAATATGTATTTTTAATCATGTAAATGGTCCAGTGTTCCCGAAATTGCGGACGAGGCTACCAAAAACGTAAGGTTCAATGCATCGGGCCCGATGGTATTCCCATGAACGCGAGCGTGTTGGAGTGCGATGAGGAAAAGAGGCCACCGAGCAGGAGGCACTGCAACGATTTTTCTTGCAACAAAAACAAATCTAAGGATGCGGACAGTGAAAATGACGTTGGTTAGTTATCCAATGTACTTACCTACTTGTAGTTTGGAAAACCGGTTTTTTAAATTTTCGGACGATAATTTAAAAAAAAAAATTTTTTTTAGAAAAGGAATGCCGAGATGTGCTATTGGATTGTTGGAAAATACGAAGCGGAAGTCAAGAAGCGAAGCACAAGTGCGAGATGGAAGTATTCAAAAAAGGATGTTGCAAGGCTTGCCGTTACTCTTTTCTCAGATCGAACGGACGTAGCAAAATAAGATAGTTTATTATCGTAACTGAATTTGTTTTTTACATTTTTTGTAATGATATGTCACAATGTATTTTGTGCAATGTTCTTGTTAGAGCGATTCTTTTTCCTGACATAATATTATTTTTTTCTCTTCCCACGTATATACACATTTAAAAAGCAATTCTTGTACGCGTAGAATGACAATTTTTATAGCACCGTAATAGTTGTAAGCATTTTATTTATCATCGATTTTCATCATTTTTCTACTATTTTTAACTTGTTACTTGTCAACAGTTTAACAGTTTGGAAAGCGTTCGTTTTTAAACATTATATCTTGAGTTTTTTAATAATCAAACTTTGAATAAAAACTATATTTACTTAATTTTTTGTTTATCATTACTTAGATACATACCTGAATTAATTGAGTAATTGAATCAATTACAACTGTTTTTCATCCTTTATAATGATAAAAATAAAATTACAATAATGACAAAAATTAAAGTGATAATAAATAACGTCGGTTAAATACACATTATTTTATGTTATTATACATTCCATCGTTTGTCATTTAAACTAAACTTTTCCGCCAAATCAAGTTACCAACGAGTGAAAAAAAAATTTCAATGTTGGTAGCAAAGATGGCGGCGGTAGCAGAAGCAGAAGAACTGTCACACATAAGTGCAGTCAGTATATATATGTAGAGTATTCGGCTGTAGGTGATACAGCCGCTTTGATTTACGAAAGTTGTTATTTTCCTAAATTAAACGTTAAAAAAGTTTTTATAAAACAACTATTAAATGGTTTTCTAAAGATTTTCATACTTACGCTTATTATCGCGAAAAGAGAGAAAAATGTCTCTCGATCAGACTGTCTGTGAAGGTGAGTGTTTTTATTTACACTGTTTTGTTTACGACCGGACCAACCGCGCAGAGGCTTGAAATTCATGAGTATATAAGTGCAGGATCTTCTTTATAACAATCATTTGGTTGATCCTTTATCTCCGTTGATTTCAGATTTAAAAGCTTTCGAGAGGCGACTGACTGAGGTTATTTCGAGCTTGCAGCCAGCAACTTTGCGGTGGAGGAGTAAGCTCTTTTCAAATATTCTTTTATTTTTGACGAGTACCAGACTTCTTACTATCAAATTGCTTCAATGTTTATGAAAGTTCTTTCGTGCCGGTCGAGCTTGTAAGAAACAGTTAATGTTTTTGTACATAACCTATTTGACTTACATATTTATTTGTTTACAGTACTGCTGGGCTTCATTTCCATTTGTACAGCTGTTGGTGCTTGGTACTGGCTCACAGATCCCAATACTTCTGCGGTGCCGTTTACTCAGAGTCTCTGGAATCATCCATTTTTCACAATAGCTAGTTTACTGTTAGGTAAGTTGAAAGAAAATTTACAAAAGTACAAGAAAGGCACGATTACATGTTTTGACTTGATTTGTAGTTGTATTATTTATGCTGGGTATTCATCGAAGAGTGATAGCACCAAGTATTATTACACAGAGAGCTCGAAGCATCCTGGGTGATTTTAACATGAGTTGTGATGACACTGGAAAACTGATCTTAAAACCTACAAGGCCACCTCATCTTCATGAAACTTAACAGGAAAACAAAAGCTCTTGGTAGAAATGTGACAATATTGTATAAAGAAAATTCGTATTTTACAAATAATAGTAAAAGCGATTGACTTTCTCTGATGCCGTTGAAGGACGTTTATGTTTACTTTTTTTTTCATCTGGTATGAATTAATTCAAAGGAAATTTTGTTAGTTAATGATGTTTTATCTTTTTGAACATGCAAAATATATGCTACATAGTTTGAAGTAATTTACCTTATTTTTGTACATAATTATTTTATCTCTCGGACAGATAATTACTTCAAACTTTGGTGCAGAATGTGAAAAGTAGTGTAAACAAACGATATTATTGTGTATACGATTAATGAATTCTCTTATCGACTTACTAAAATATATTGAAATATATAAATACATGTAAAAAATCAATGAGAGAAAAGCTTGTTCAATTTGATTCATTTATTTCTTATTTAGTTTATCTTGTTCAATGCACTTTTATAAGCTTCATACTTAGGAAAAGAAGATCATAAATTAATAACGTTGAAAACATTTATTAATAGTGTGCTGTGTCTTAATGTTTTCATAATATTACGATTTAAGCAATTCAAAATTAACATTTGCTTATTTAAAAATAGCATCATGTATGTACACAATTGTAAATAACTCGTCATAAGCTTACGTATAAGGAAGAAAACTAAACAATAATAGTAGTTCTTTAGAAAATATGTTTTTCGACGAACAAATTATCAATTATTATTTACATGATAAAAAAAACCGACGAAAAAATTATTAAAAAATAATTGACGCACTGAAACAATTAGAGATGCCCAGTCAATTTTGAATTTCTCGAATGCATGATTATTGAATAAAAGATTATAAATAGCTAATGATTTTAAAAGTTTTCGCGATCAATACTTGGATCTTGTGTCAAATGAATTAAATAAATGACTTAAATCGTCTTTTGCATTAATCTTCATTTAGTACGATTTTTTTGATATGCTCATGGGTATGAAAGTCAAAACCAACTGGACTAAAAAAAGTACCCTTTTTTTCAAGACGTCTACATTCATTCTTTTTTTTTCAGTTTTCACTCCTGTATACTCTTACAATATTTTCTCAAGTCTGTATCCAATCGCAGGACCACACATTATTTTCTTTTTGAAAAATCAGTGTCATAAAAATTTAATTTCTAGCTTTAGGAAAATTTCCTAGCTTAAATTCTACAAAGTTCATTAGATCTAGTCTTGTGTGTAGCAGGAAGAGCGACAATTCATCCCCATTACCTCGACTAAATTTACGAATTCCACTGATGTGTAAAAACGTTTTTTTTCTTTTTCGTAATATGTTGGCTTGAACATTCGCTTAGTGGTGCATGGAGAACAGGTCCCCGGCTGAAGGCAATGGTGCTAATCCACCTGTGACATCTGGTAACTGCGTCAAGTCTGGAAGATTGGAGATGTGCGATTTAACTTCCGCTCGCACAGAACAGACCTTTTTCAATTTTTCCTTGTAATCCTGTAAAGGTGGTTCAAAGAGTGACAAATAAAGTTAAATAAGCATCAGCTTTAAAAAAAAAAATAAAACTATACAATACCTCTAGCGTTGACTGAGCTTGCTGCAAAAGTTGTCGCTGGGCTACGGTGTAGTCCCTCAGCATTGTGAGTAGCCTCCTTCTGTCTTCCATTTCAGCCTGCAATCGTCCATTGTAATCAGCAAGTAAAGCTGCGGCTTCGTTCACAGCAACGCTTAAGTGATCAGCTGCCGAGCGATCTGCTAAATTTGCCAGCAGAGATACTTCGGAGACCTCCGGTGGAAAGGACGCTATGCGCTCTCTTACTGCAGCATCTGATGATGCTGTGTTTTCAAGATCCTGTAATTTTTTTATGAATTTTTTTACTTACGTTCAACGAAACTACTTATTTTACAGTACATTAAGAAATTACAGGTGTTTATATTCAAAATTGTTTGAAATCAAGGAATTTCAAAAATCAACAAAATACTTCATGTCAAATTAATGTTCGAGAAAAAAATATTGAGCCACAGAAACAGCATATAATGCTTCTGGTTGAAAAAGTCAATGACAATTGCGGAAAAAAATTTTGTAGGAAACAGATAAAATCAACGTTCTTCATTGGTAATGTGTAGGAGTAGAAATTATCTATTTATATATTTTTCCCTAATCTAACATACTTGACATATGAATTTCGAAGAGAAATAGATTTATTTGTGTTGTTTGGACAGTCTATATTTATTAAAAAATGTTTATTTTCAATTTTTTTTAGTTTAAAAATCACATTAACCATTAACGCTTTGATGAGTTCCTCAGTTTCTGGTGGATCACCACCTGGCGTTCGTGGGCTTAATGTTACATGCAGCTCTTTGGTACCATCAACTTCGATTTCAGTCTCGGATTTCTTTCTTTCTTTCTTCTCTTTCTGCAAAAAAATTTAATGCATGGATTGCAAATCAATAACAAATAAATATGTGAAATGTGTATGCCCGTTGTCACGTACACAAAGCGAAACCTTGAGTTTATTAGCATCTAAAAACAAGAACATATACTAAGTACTGGTTGTACAATTTTACTGACAAAATTTCTGCATAATAATCAACTTTTCAACTCTATGAATTACTACCATGTCACGTATATTTGCTTGTACGCAACAACGGGCGTGTACAGTGTGATTATTCAAATAAATGAAACAAATACTTTTTCCAATTCAATTCTAGGTTTCTTCCTTGGCAATGGAGGTGTACCAGGTTCCTTGGTAATATCGTTAATAGGACTGAAAAACGCTGCTCTAAAATCTGCTATTTGTGATTTATCGTAAACTCCTCTCTCCTCCCATATACTTATTAGTCTGCATGCTTTATCTCTTGTTTTATCATCAAAGTGTTTCATGTGATCAAATGCCTTTGGTAAAACAGAAGCAAACTCCTTGCCAAATTCTGGACCCTTTTTCTTGCTGTTTTGTATGACATCATTAGCCAAATACATGAACATCAATTTGCGGTTGTCCTTAGCTGAAATACGAAAAAACATATGAGAATATGAAAAATACGTAAGTAACTTAATTTAAAGACGCGAATCAGAAAAATAATTGTGTTAAAATATTTGAGCAATAATTATTTATAATGTATCAAGGGATTGTTCATATAAATTTTATGTTAACTAAACCAATGAATATTAACTTTCGACCCATTCACAGTTTACCATGTACAAGTGTAGTATTAAATTACTGTGATAAGCAAATTTTTTTTAATCAGGTGCACTGTTATCTAGTTTTAAACGAGTCGTTTAAGTTTGACAGCTTTGATCAATGTATTACAGTGAAAATAATATCTATCATTTTTTTAACAGAAAAATTTTACGATGCAGCGATAAAGTGTAGCAAAAGAGACTCAACGTAAAAAATAGTTTTAGAAAAGAGAGAAAATTTTATACAACTCCATGATAAAATCAAACACCAAGTAGCTGCAACAGCTTCTAACCTAGAAACGAGCTCGCGTCCAGCACCCTTGTGTACAACTAAACTCCATCCCCGAGGAAGACGTTCCAGGTAGTAAACGAAAGTAGAAAAAAAAAAACAATATAGATCACTTACACTTGCAGAGTTCCTTGAACCAGACTTTGACAATGGTCGAGTGGTGCTTCCTGTGGTGGATCAGCCAGAGGGAGAGGGTCTGTATGCTCTGCTGCGACGGATTGAGCTCCATTAGCTTCTTCACGAGGGCACCCTCCGTGAAGCCAGCCATCCTCTTCTTCTTAGCTTCGGAGCCAGCAGTCGTCCAAGACAGCACCACCACGACCAGCCTAGCTGCTTCCGCAGCACAGCGACAGCTCTTCGCCCAACCCGACTACACTCTTTTTATTATCTCTTGGGTACACGCATAAGTATATTATACTTATTTCTCGGGGTTAAATTATACGCATACACACACGCGCGCACTGTATGTGACGTTAAAACTATATGAATATACTCTCTCTGCACACCGTACTTTACTTAATAAAAATATGTAAACCAACAAATATTTCCTACTATAAGTACACAAGCTGCCGTTGGGCTATAAGTATATACTTGTTTGGACTTGGGAGACGTTGCAAAACGTGAGCGCGTGTCACCCCTTTCTGCTCTGCGTTTTTACTCTTTTCTTACTTTCTTTTACTGCAGACACTTTTGCTTACTCTTTTACCTTATTCATACATAAGGACATATAAGTGCGAGTAAAAGATGAAAAACTTCAAGTCTGTCAGGAATTTACAATTTTATATTGGCGCAAAATGAAGTTGACGCGGCGGATATTTATTTTGTTTGTTCATTCAATATCTATACATGTCCATTGTCATGTATACCTGTATACACATATATACCTACGGGTATCGTGTTAATTGTTGATAAGCTACCAACAACCAACCAAAGCAATTTCTCTTATGCCGACGCCAACTGTGTCGGTAAGGGGGAAGGGAGATGCGGAAAAAGAGCACAATGTGTGATATACGTGATGAAGTGGAGTACCTAATTATAGTAATCACTACTACCCACAAAACAATGATCATGACTGAAATCGTATGGATACCAAATTCCATCACTAAGACGTTTTGTAGTTGTTAGTTGTCTAAAGATAACAGCATGTAGGTAGAATATCTATACTTTTGGAGGTCAATTTTACGATAAAAAATAAATTTTAAGCTTGCCGCAAATAGCACAAACAACGTCAACTTTTTATTGTACAACCATATGATTAGTTGCGGCTGGTTTATATAATCAATTACATGGCTCCACTGTGAGTTAAAATAATTGTTTGGATCAGTGCCATCTAGCGTTGCGGATTTCTGAACCAAAAAGTGGCCCTAAACTTCTGAACCAGAGCAATCACGCTTAGAGCCATTTAGTCAATTATAAACCAGCCGAAACTCATGATGAAGCTATAAAATAAAAAAATAACGATACGTGTGTTTTTGGCGGCAAGTTAACAATCTATCTTATGCTTAAAAATTTATCTTTAAAAGTATAAATACATGGGAGGTCCATTTTTGGTAGAAAATAAATTGTTAACTTGCCGCCAAAAACACATATATCGTTATTTTTCTATTTTATAGCTTCATTATAAGTTGCGGCTGGTTTATAGTTGATTAAATAGCTCTAAGCCTGATTGCTCTGATTGAGAATTTTAGAGGCCACTTTTCGCTAAAAAATGAAGACCGCTAGATGGCGCTGATCCAAATTATTATTACTATTTATAGTAGTGCCATTTAATCGATTATAAACCAGCCGCAACTAATTGTATGATTGTAAAATAAAAGTTAAGGTTGTTTGGAATGTTTGCGGCAAGTTTACATTATATCTTTTACTTGAAAGTATTAAAGAGAAACAATGATGCATCCTCTGCAGGTATGTTGAGCGACGTTTCAGTTTACTTTTCAAGAAAGTTAACTTAAAAAGCTAACAAAGTTAATTAATGCCATCAACAAAAAGGAGCAGACTATCCAACTCCTTTAAACGTTTCGACCATCAATAAATGAACACCCCATTGTTTGAGAGCAACAATGCAGTAATTGAGACAACCGACAACATTTGCTGGAACTATTTGTCTTCTTGTCCATCATTAATTCCTAGAGAGGATTAATAATTGAATTGTGATGGCTTTGTTTCATTAAAATGTTCTCTATCTTGAAAATTTTTTAGCATCAATTGGGGATGAATGGAATAAAAATAAACTGTTGAAATATGCATTAAAAAAAGTTGATATCTTTATTCAAAATACTAATAAGTGACAAGGAAGTTCATACTAATTATCATTAAAGTATACAATAGTATATAAAATAGACAAATAATGGGATAAAAACATCGTTCATTCAGGTAACTCAATAAATATACTGTGTCAATGATTTACATGCATAAGTATATGGCTAATAGTATGAAAAAGGAAAGTCAACACACTTTTTTTCTTTTAATATCTAATGCGAACGATGCTCCAGTTTCTTGATGAATTTTTTTCTGCAATAAATTATCACAAAATTGTTGAAAAATTAAAAATGTTTTTAAATGTTCAACTTTTATGTTATATCTACCATTGAGCTGAAGATTTCAACAATCAAATCTGGTCTTGTAGCTTTTAGCTTTTCATATCCTGCTGTTTCCGTCACTTGTGCTACATTCAAAGCAATATACTCCATGACCTTTATTTTCAATGTGCTGGCATCGTGATCATCTGCTGTCAACAAAAGGCTTGAAGCATTGGAAATATTTAATCCATGGAGGAAATTGTTTTCACACATAAGTTTCAGTCCATTCAAATCAAATCTATTTGCAGCAGCTAATAACTCAAGAGTATTCGATTCAAGATTTTCAACTTTGCCACTATAGATGTAATTTAATATTTCACACATCACCTCATAAGTAAAACCATTGATTTCTCACAGTGATTCACAGTCACACGAAGAGTCTCTTAAGAATGGAGCATTACATCTCACCAAATAAAAAATACATTTAAGTATTACAGAGAAGTAAATTTCAAGTGTCATAAATAAACAAAGAACCCAACCTCCATTTATTAACCGCCTATTGTAAACTTGCCGCAAATAGCATAAACAACGTCAACTTTTTATTTAACAACCATACAATCAGTTGCGGCTGGTTTATAATAATTTAAATGGCTCTACTATAAATAGTAATAATTATTTGGATCAGCGCCATCTAGCGTTGCGAATTTCTGAGCTAAAAAGTGGCCCTAAACTTTTGAACCCTAGCTTTAGCGCTTAGAGCAATGTAATCAATTATAAACCAGCCGCAACTCATAATTAAGCTATAAAATAAAAAAATAACGATATATGTTTTTTTGGCGGCAAGTTAACAATCTATTTTTTACCAAAAAATCGACCTTTACGTATTTGTACTTTTAAAGATAAATTTTTGAGCATAAGATAGATTGTTAACTTGCCGCCAAGAACACATGTATTGTTATTTTTTAATTTTATAATTATACGATTAGTTGCGGCTGGTTTATAATTGACTAAATGGCTCTAAGCGTGATTGCTCTGGTTCAGAAGTTTAGGGCCACTTTTTAGTTCAAAAATCTGCAACGCTAGATGGCGCTAATCTGAATGATTATTTTAACTCACAGTAGAGCCATGTAATCAATTATAAACCAGCCGCAACTAATTTTACAGATATAAAAAAAAAATTGACATTGTTTGTGCTATTTGCGGCAAATTGCAATTTATTTCACACCACTAATAAGGCACTGTGTCAATGAGTTTCAGAAAATTCATCCAATTTTTAGCGGATTTATCACACGTATACGTATAATGAAAAAAAAAAAAAAAAAAAAATACAACACAATTTATGTTGACGATCGGACCGAAAAAAATAATAAAATCAGTAGTATTTACACCTTTTTTGTTTTTGTTGTTCGCGTACAACAAGTTCGTGTAATGAATAATTATGTTCGTCAGTAAAGATAACTGTTCAATTTATTTAACATCTGCAACTCTCTTATCGTATGATGGAATTACATTAAATTGAAGTATAATATACTTACTAGACGTAGGGTTTTTGTTCTTGAAAAGTTGGCGTCACTCAAGATTGAGTGCAAATATAAACATAGATGCGTGTGATATATGTACATGAAGTGACACTGAAATGTGACCGAGCCCAAGATAAGACATGATACAAAACAAAACAATGGATAACAGCGCACAACTATAGCCTCTTTGCAGTTATCACTGAAACTGTTAAGTTTAAGTAACAGTAAGTACTTAGCTTCTACTTTGTTCGATATATTTTTCTAGTTCTTTGAACAAATCAAAACAGTTTCTCCAAATTTCGACGCTGACCCACGCACAGTACAGTACAATGGTAATCATTTATTTCTTTATTAGTTAATTCATATGTATATATAAGTTGAAAAGCAAAAATCTACTAGAAATAAGCATTGTGTTAATATTAACCGATTCATATTAGGATTCGGTTGACTTAACCTCCAAATATTGAAACTTTGTTTACAAGCAAAAGTCGCACTTAAAATTCCAAAGATTTAATAGAGTATTTTTTATTAGCGTATTATGTAACTAGCATTACATTTTTTTAGGATCCCAGATGCAAAATGAGAAGATCTTGGGGAAACCTTCTTTCTGAATCTTCAAATGATTCATTCAGTTCGGAGTCTTCATCGGATACAAGTGTTACTACTGCTACTGACACTGACGTAAGTATTTTTGTAGTGTTCAAGGAAGAAAAGAAAAGTGATCAAAGCTGTTGAAAATATTTACGTACAATATATGGTTTTCAGCTTGGGGAACCAGAATGCAAAAAACAGAAAAGAACTAGCCCTAGTTCTGATAAAGAAACAAAATTTGTCAATGAAGTGCATTATGAATACGTATTGAAAGCTAACTACAAATGGGTCATTAAAGATTTTATCAAGATAACTAGTGATTTTAAATATGGACAAAAAGTAGAATCATCTGTATTCCACATTGGAGGTAGTAACGAGTACGAGTTTCAATTACAACTTTTTCCCAAAGGCGTCACTGAATCGCAAAAAAATCATTTATCACTACTTCTACTCGTCAAATCCTGTATAGAACCTCAATTAACAATACAATTTAAGTGTTCTCTACTTAACAATAAATTTTCGAATAAAGATTTTGATGTGAAGGAAACCGTTGCTCGTGGTCAGAAATGTGGCTTCAAACGCTTGATAAGAACTGATTCTATACAAAAAAGTTCCGGTTATTTAGATCACGATCGAATTGTATTTAATTGTGCCATTAATGTTACGATTAACAAAACAGATGATTGTAAAACGAAAGTTGTCGACGATATAGAGACATTGTTACTTACTGGTGATCACAGTGATGTCATACTAGAGGTTCAAGAAAGACAGTTCAAGGCTCACAAATGCATCTTGTCTGCTCGTAGTGAGGTTTTTGCAGCTATGTTTAGACACAACACAAATGAGAAAAATGAAAACATTGTCAAAATAACGGATATCAGACCCGAAGTAATGGAAGAAGTCCTGCGGTTCATTTACTTTGGAGAAGTTCTTAATCTTGAAAATTCTACTAAGGAGGTGTTGGCTGCTGCTGATAAGTACAATTTCGAAGGCTTAAAAAAGCTTTGCGAAAGTGCTCTTGGCAAGACATTGTCCATTAATAATGTGGTTGAACTTCTTAACTTTGCCGAACGTTACAATGCCAATAATTTGAAAGAACTAGCACTCAACTTTTTTGCTGGTCACGTGAAAGATGTTGTTGATACCCAGTTGTTCCAGACAATGGCCAATAAGGAATCGCCTTTGTTAACACAAATAATCAATAAAATCGCATCAAAAAACTGATTTGACATAATGTTCCAAGTGAAGTGTATGCTAGAAAATGGATTTATGATATTACATGAGATATTTGTAAACAATTGTCTTCTTAGTGTATTGCGCTTATTAAAATCGACAGTTTGTAATGTGATACAATGATGTTCATTAGGAATTGACAATTGACAACCCAAGTATACTAATACAGCTTATAACAGATTTTGTACTTTTTTTCTAAAATAAATCAAGTTGTCTATTTTTTTCTTTAATAAAATTACAAGGAATTTGTAAGAAGTTCCATTATGTTTCATTCAAAAATTTAATTCCATTTCATTAAAAATTTTTTTCATTTACCAGTGTTGGTGATACTCCAACGATTTTCATAAGTATCTTTTCACTTGTAATTCAGATTAAAGTATGTCGGAATTCAAACAATATTTTTAAAGCAAACAAGAAGTATATTTATCATAAGGAAAACCATTTGACTTTTATAAATATTCATAAGTGATATGTTTACAAACTGTGTTGAGCAATAGAGTCAATAGTTTCTATACTCGCTATTAAAATCGGGGGNCCTTTCGTGCGATTTCAAGTGCGATATATTTTTCTTTTTTGACTTGAAAAGGTAAGATGCGTCTTACAGGTTTTTCGAAGAATGTGTGGGGGTTCTGCAATTGTGCACACAATGACAGTTTTTGTTTCACTATTTTGTTTGATTTTGGCTTTGATATTGAAAATAGCAAATGTGCGAGAAAATTGGTTGCCGTGAAGGCTTATCGTCGATTTGCATGTATGTAGCAGTTTGTCCTAATACTTTTTGATTGGCGTCTTATTGCACGTACGAATAATTTTTTTAAATTTCTTTACGCGTAAAGTATACGTAAATGTTGCAAAGTGGTGTAATTAAATAATTTTTCCGCACTCAGGTGGTTTTGGGAGGCTGGTACTTCCTCGGGCGAAAAAGCAGTTTTCCGGAACTCGTTCAAAAAGTCTCCTTTACGAACCTCGTTACGTCCCTCGCCTTCGGCTTGGGCCGCAAACCTCTCGGTTCGCAAACAAAGACTTTTCAAACTCGTAGGAAAACTACTATTATTTCACTCGAGTCCATTATGTACTAAAAGAATTTCTCCGCCCTCGGGTGGTTTTGGGAGGCTGGTACTTCCTCGGGCAAAAAAGCAGTTTTCCTATACTCGTTCGAAAAGTCTCCTTTACGAACCTCGTTACGTCCCTCGCCTTCGGCTCGGGCCGCAAACCTCTCGGTTCGCAAACAGAGACTTTTCAAACTCGTAGGAAAACTACCATTATTCGACCGTATTGTATATTATGTATCCAGCGGTTATATATTTTATTGTTTCCTTACAAATTTTTACAAATTATTTTTATCTTTTTATTCTTGAAGAGCTACTACAATCTCAATCGTTACTGAGGTTTGTTTATTTTCCTTCATTCATTTATTTTCACGAATCGTGTAATTTTTTGTTATTAAATTTTAGGTAAAAATTAATTTGATTTAATAAATAATGAAGTATCTTTATAAAATATTAATTCACGTACAAGTTATCTAGGCATTTAAAGTAATTTTTTTTTTTTTTAATTAACTTCCACTGTCATGTCATTATTATGAATACAGTAACTAAAAATCATGTTTTATTTCGGAATGAATTTTCAAATTGAATTATTACTAAATTTTGTTAATTACAATCGTCGGGAATTTCTAACGCATTAAATGGTGATAACTTTTTTCATTTTCGTAAGCTTTTGTTTAAACTCAAGTTAATGTTAAATGAATTTTTCATCAGTATTTATTTAAATATTCTCTTTTATACGAATCGATATATACGTTATAACTACTATATTTACGAAGTCAAGAATAAGATACGTTATGTATTATTTCATAAAAAAACCAATAAAAAAATAATATCATATTTTTATGCATTTTTCAAGAAAAAATAAGGTATATCAAATCTTATTCCGTAACAGCGTACTTTTTATATTTAATCACTTGCAAATATAAGTAAGAAATGATTTATCGATAGAAAATTGAAGTTAAAGTTTTTCGTGAGGAATGTATATATTTTGCGATTGATCGAAAAGTTTTTTCCGGAAGCATTATGGGCCTAATAAATTTCAAGAAAAATTTTTTTTGTCACCACGGTTAGAGCACTGCGCTCGTTCTCTCTGCACAGTGGAAATCTACAAACTTACGCGATCAAATGGCGCTGAAAGTTTCGTAAAGAAACGATCCGATGAAAGTGGAGGTAGTGAGAAAGGGAATTTTTTGTAGTTTGTTATGTCCAAGCGATAAAACAAGCAGTAGTGAAAAAAAAAAAAAAAAAAAGAATACTTTTACATTTTTACACATAAGAGGCGCAGCTGAGCTGAAAGTTTAATTGAAACTTTTATGGCTTTTGTCCTAAAATTCAATAAAAACAAAAAATTAGTTAAAAATGATTTTTTCGGTAGATAAGAGCGATGAGAGATGATATTGTAGAGTACAGAGCATATATAGCACGCAAAAAAAATCCTACTTTTCTTCCTTGTAAATCTGTATAGCTACACGCTTCTGGCAAATCACCCTTCGTATCTTTTGTATTTTTTTATTGATAAACCTGCGTCTCGACACTTGATGTACACCTCGAGTTTACATTGGAGCTATACAACTTTTGGGCTTAAGGTGTACATATTACAGTACACCACTATAGGCTCGATCCACAAGGTGTACCGATATGTATTATATGTTTGTATATTTGTAAATTTCTCACTCAGACCATTTGTCAATTTTGGACTTAAATTTTTCAAAAGTTGTCGGAAATTGATTAAGTACGTTGATAACATGAAAAAAAAGAAGGATAAAATTGTATTTCTCAGGTGAGATTTTGAGATGAGAAATCACCTGAGATCCCTCCTGAGAAATTTTAGTAGGGTTTAAGCCGATAAAGGTCCATTATTATACAGTTTCGATGGAGTATGCAATGCATAGTTTTGATTTACGTTTTGAATATCATTGCAAGACTAGAGCAGTTTGCGGAGATAACGATTTTTCGTTTGTTTTTGTTCATCCACACGTTACCAAGTTTGGCGTAACACTTGATTTGCTAACTGCTTGGGAACATGTGCATGGCTTCGTTCGTGGCAACACTTGACGTACTGTCAGAGTGTAACTCAATAAAAAAAGACATTTTTCACGATTGCAGTAAAAAAAAAAAAATTTCATTGTACCGTTAGATGGGACCACTGTAATTGCGTCTTCAGTCCTCAATAAGAATTTACTATCTTTACTCTGATCGAGTGATTGGATATTTCAAAAAGCAATAATTTAAGACATTGTTTGTTATCCATACGTATTCAAATACCCCCAACCTAGAGTTATAAAAATCTGTGACGCGATGTAATATTTTTCATGATTGCAGTAAAAATTTTTTTTTTTTTTTTTCTTGTGAAAATCCACTATTCTACTTATCTCGACTCTCATCGAGTAATTGGATATTTCAAAAAGCAAAGAATTAAAATATGGTTTGATATCTGTATGTACTCGACACCTCCAGCCCAGAGTTCTGCAGATAATCTTGGGGGGGGGGAGAAAAAAATCTGCATCATTTCTCCCGACGTACGCACTCGAGCAGATCGCCAAAACCGTCGCACCCTTTGTACAGCATCCCATGCACGCATGACACTTTCACGTGCACACACCCCCGTTCATGAAGATAGAAGAGAGAGAGAGAGAGAGAGAGAGACGGGGTGGGTATGAAATGCGTAAAATCATTAGCCTTAATTGGAGTACTCGAGAGCGCGGTGAGGTATATAAATGCACATGTACACGCTCGCGTTGTCGCTCGTTCAACGCTCGATGTACGCCTATATGTAATGTGTGCAACACATTTTGCATTTCGGCCTATATATGTATATAGCTCGCGTGCATATAACGGGTTGTATACACATGGCAGCCCTTCGGTCTCTCCCCGCACATTGTGCCCATATGTAACACGTATACATATATACCTCCATTTCGAAAATTGCAGCGCTTCGGGTGCAGTGCCTATTGTGTGTATACGCTATTCGATCTTTCGTGCGATTTCAAGTGCGATATATTTTTCTTTTTTGACTTGAAAAGGTAAGATGCGTCTTACAGGTTTTTCGAAGAATGTGTTTGTCATTACTTGCCAAAAAATCTTTTATTGAAAAGTCACACATCATAGCGTTGCATGAAAGTCAAACTTTTTAAAGAGCCTTAGAGCATTACAGAAACAACTTTTATCACAAGAGTATATTTATATACACACAAATTATGATTATCCTGTCAATGTCGAACTGACGTATCGGCATCTACTCGTTTTTTTTTTTTTTTCCCAAAAGTTTGTTGGAGAAAAAAAAAAGAAAAAAAATCTTGCCTAAGTAGTTTGTACTTTGTTGCTAATGTGAGCAACGAAGCTTTGACGTGTACTTAACCCGAAAGTCTTGAGAGAGACAAAGACAGATCAGGGGTGAAAAAAAAGCTCTTTTCGAAAATACCCTATTACTCTTACATTCATCTTTTTAAAGCCAGGCAAAGAAGTTCGTGGCAAAAAGTTGTACGAAGAGAACAGCTTTTCGATACAACCTCGAGCCGAATCGCGTGAAAAGGCCGCATTTGCGTAAGCGTGTACCTATTTTTAACGAAAAGTAAGACAAATATTATTCCTTTCGTTGATTGAAAACGATTGAGCGCACGTATAAACGGCGCGAATGAGACGATCGGTAAGTTATAAAAACCGGTTGCGGTTATATTGGATTAAATACTGCGATGGATTTGTCATTCATCAACCTGCCAACAGTGCGGATGACCCTTTTACCTTTTCATTCCTTTGAGTAAAAATTGCCGTACTAAAAAGCGATTTGATCCCAACACTTTGTTTCGGGAAGGAAAAAAAAAACCTCCTCGAAAATCGATACAGTTCAAAGCCATCTATGTATACGGTAGAGTAAAGAAAAAAGAAACAACTAAAAGCTCGTCAAAGTGGAAAAATTCTACTGCCACAGCTCATCCGCCCTTTGTAATGCAAACCCCAGCTACGCGCCAAAAGTTTTTTCGCAACACCCGCTTTTCACGCGCTCCATGGGAAGCTCTTTTGTTGTACGCGCGTGTCAGTGATTCCGCACGACGGATAGACCGGCTCGTCGAATTTCCCCGAAAATCTCTCTCTTCTCTCTGTACACCGGTTGAGGAGTCACTCGTTAGCTCCGAATTTACACGCTTCCGAGGACATAACATATACACACGCATGAATGTGTGCTCGTACGCGCAATGATATATGTTATATGCCTAAAGGAGCGGAGGCTCGCAGCCCAGTGCATCTGGGGGATCTGGCTATTGAGCGACGAGTGAATATCCAGCGCATCCAATGAGAACTGTACACCTGTCAGGCGAGGGTGTGAGTATTTCCTATTATGTATCCAAGTTGAGATTCGGGGCTGGATTTTTGGGATTGATAAACAATGCAGGGATCACCGAGAAAGGAATTGAACGTCCAGTTTTCCCTCCATCTCACGTATAGAGAAATTCTGGTGAAAATCTACAATTTAACTCCTGAGGCCACAGCTCGAAAATTTGGTAAAGTCGAAATCTCTAACTCCACGCGTATATTGTTCATTTATATGCTCGACAACTGAAACGAGGGATGGGTACTTTCCTCAATTTTTATGGTAAGAGGTCAAAGCAACCACCAGAATTGTGATCCTGAATCTTAAAAATAAGGTTTTTTTTTTGTGCAAAGTCGATGATACTTATCTCTAATTATGAGACGATGTAGGTCAATGGTATCTACCTACATTCATCTTTTATTCTCTATTTTTGAGGGTATCGTCGTAACAATCCTCAGAATTAAGATTTGACGAATTATATGTGAGTAGTGTTAAAAAATTCAAAATAATATAATCGGGGTCTGACAGCACGAGATTAAGTTTTTCCTACAAATTCGTGTATGCCTTTAGTTATGAAAAGATTTTTTATATCGATATAAGAAAAGTGTGTAAAAGTAGCGTCTTAAATTTATCCTTTATTTATTTTTCTAGTAAAAAACTATAGTCAAATGTCAAAATACCTACCATCAATGGAGTTTGATAGCTTAACAATTGAGATTTTTGCGCAAAATCTCGAATATCTGTAATTGTTGGAACATTTGTACGATGAAGGTATACTTACCTACATTTATTTTCCAACTATTTTTCAGCTGAAATATACTCTAAAAAATCACTGGTATTGGGATCTGATAGCGAGAAATAAAATATTTATAGGTAACACTAGTTACTGGAGAACTTTTTTTTATCGGTAAGACAAAAGAAACAAAAAAAGTTTCGATGATGAAATTTCTGATATCCCTAATCGTTAGATGATTTCTTTGGTCGCACTATTGATTGCGATAATACATGCATAATATATGCGTATACATAATTAGTCAATCATTTTTTGCAATTTTTTTTTGTTTTGTTAACAAAAATCGTTAACTCTACGTAGTTCGTCAAAATCCACTTATACAAAGAAATTTCGATGGATAAAACAGGTGCACTGTAAACTCATATACATACGACTATATACGCGCATGCTCACACGTGCAGGTGCACAGACGTTTTATCCGTTTGAAAGTCGTAAATTTTGGTAGTTAACAAATACATGCCGAATTTTTATATGTTAATACTTTTATTCCTCGATAACTAAAAATATTCCCGTACCAAAAAATTTCCTCGTTACATTTAAAGGTGTATTTGCATAATAATTCAAACTGCCGATTATCTCATGCAAATGAATAAAGAACGTAATTTGCAGCAACAGGTTTATAATACTTAATTGCCATTTGGAGGGATATTTCAACTGAGCGAGATTCGCATGCAAGTGTTACAAATTTGAAAACACCCGATGATCAGAGCATCCCGACCGTTGGCACGAGGCAATCGTTTGGAAAATATATTCATCGTACCACGAGGACAATTTTGTAAACAAAGGTAAACTAATAACGAGCAGCAGTTTCTTTGCAAGTGATGCTCGATCATTTTCAAAGAGAAGGAAAAATGTTTTTCAACACCAGTGATTGATGTAAGTTACGGGTAACGGAGAGACAAAAAGTCGAGAAAGGCAGTAGTTTATGAACTACATGTAGACAAAGAGAGTAAAAGAACAGCGGCGTCGAAGTGGAAGATGGTGAAAAGTGCGAAGACGCGGGGGTGGCGTTTTTTTTCCCCTTACAAAGATTTAGCGGCGCAAAAATGGCACCGCGAAAACAGTGAAGAGGTCCGCATGGCTTTATATCCTTTTGAGCTTGAAATACGACTTTGGCCGAGGATATACAAGGGGACTTGCTTAATGATCGTGGAAATCCCGCGTTTCTCGACGGCTCCTTCGCGGAGGTGCTCGTGGATCGCGAAAATTAATTGTCGCTCGGGTCCGCGGACTTATACCCGATTTCTCGAGCGATGCGTTAATTGTCACCCGTAAAGTTACGATCGATGCTTAATTGAATGGAATTTTCGTTATTTGGCTTTCATCGGTAACGTACAATCAAAAATACACATTTCTTTTCATTTCTCTTTGAAGAGCACACTTGTGCAGAAGCTGGAAGATAAGATTATTCAACAAGATCTAAAGATAAAAGGTGATTAAAACGGATTTAAATCGTGCAAAAATCATTGTTTCCCTCATTTGGTTTTCGCATCCTCAATTATTTAACTTCCTGTAAACTAACAAGTGGAAAAAGAATACCACTCATGTGAAATTTTAGTTCTTGCACGCTTTGGAACAACATTTAAAACATAATATACATTTCTATTTCTCCGTGACAAATAAATAATTCAAATTACAAATTACAATGCTTCTGATGATATTTATCTTCGCACTTGCTACAAAATGTTGGCTTACAACTACAGCTTTGAGTCCGGAGGATTACAAAGTCGAGCTCGTCCAAGTGGTACGTTAATTTCCAAGATCATCATACTATATCGAATTATTCTTGTGCTTGTACTACTTGCATTTCGGAAACATCATGTATATACATGTACGACTGTTATGTTGATTCATTATTGACTCATATCGTAAAAACTTAGATTTTTAGACACGGGGATCGTGTACCTGGAAAAAAAGAGCTGGACCTCATATCCATGAAAATCCCGTACAACGAATCAATCTACACACCTTTCGGCCACGGCCAGATGACAAATGTAAATATGCAATTTATTTATTTATATTTTAAATAAATTATATAAATAATTGTTTATAAAAACGATTTGTTGCCGTGATTCAATAAGGGAATAAAAGTAAATTTTTCGATTCTTAGCTTTTATTTTGTAGTTTTCTTCAATTTTCGCTTTAAAATGAAATCCATTTGATTGATACTTCATCAACACGCGGTAGTACACATTATGTAATAAAATTATTCACCCGTAGATTGGAAAAAAGCGAGTGTACGAAGTCGGCCAGGCCTTGAGAGATAGGTATGGAAATTTTTTGAGCACGACTTACGACTCAAGCGAGGTTTACGCGTACAGCACGGGCTACGATCGTACGCGGATGTCACTGCAATTGGTGCTCGCTGGGCTGTACCCAACGTTCGAGGTACCATTTTGGCCCGAAGACGTGAGCTGGACACCTTTTCCCTCCCATCACAATGAGTCCAAGTTTGATTTTTTTCTAACACCAGAGGCGTGCCCAAAGTAATCACGTGATTTTAACCACTTTGTGTTACTTATCATCATCACTGTGTGTTTCATCGACTTACTCGGTACTTTTCGTCTTACGGCAGCAATTTCTCTGGAATTGGCTGTAATGGAGGCCCCTCGGCACTTATTTCATTTTTTACCCCTCGCTTTTCACCTAAACCTCTTAGTATACCCTGTATTTTTTCAAAATTATTTTCATTCAATTATCCCATGGCTACCATATATATTATACTTCGGTCAGTCTTAATTTATTTTATTCCTCTCGATCACACGTGCTTTTTTTATTATTTATTCTATACGAATTTTTTATTCTTATCTACTACTGTTTACCTTTTTTGTCAAGCTTTTCCTGTCAAGTTATTATTTTTTGCTTAATCGATTGGACGGTCCCCTTATTTCTTTCACTCGTGGTTTCTAAACAAGGCTTCGGTGGGTGTACGCGAAACATGGTCGGTACCACTCACATCATCCTCATTTTAAGTTAAAAATTTGTATGACATAAAAAATAGAAGATTTGTAAGTGGTTGTCCCTTTTTGCTTTTCCCCGTAGAGTAATACATAAAATTATAAAAAAAATAATGTCATTAGGTATCTCCAGCTCAGAAGTGAGGTTTTACACTCTGATGAGATAAAAAATAGGATCTTGAAGTATCGTGGCACTATATATCTTCTTTTGGAGAATGTTGGCCAGCAGATGATAAATCCAGTTCTGATTTTTTTATACTACCACATGATTGAATGCCACGTAAGTATTAAAAGTCAGTTTGAATGGAAAGAGAAGTGCAACAACTATTTCGTGGAAATATTTGTGTAAAATAAATATTACCATTTTTTAGAAAAGTATGGGATGGCCTCTACCATTGTGGTTGACCGAAAGTAACTACGAAGAGCTCAAAGAAATCGCAGCTATTTATTACGAAGCGTTGTTATTGACGAACGAAATGAAAAAGTTGGCGGTTGGAGCGATGTTGAAAAAATTCATTGAAAATATCGATAATCAGGAGAAGGGGGGGGACAAGAGGAAAATTTACTTGTACGGTGCGCACGATCTGAACGTCAATGGATTTCTCAAGTCGCATGGGTTCAAGTATCCCAAACTCCTTGAATTTGGGGCAACTGTGATCATGGAAAAACTGAGAGGACCCGACAATGGAATTTATATTCGGGTATGTCGGCTTGTATTTAACAGTTTTTTGAATAATCGAGACAGAGCATAGCTTTCATTATTTACCATTTTCACAGCTATTTGTGTGGTCGGGTGCCAATAAGAAGATGACCTTGAGGCTTTCAGACTGCAAAATATTATGCCCCTTGTCGAAGTATCTAGAAATCATAAATCCAGTACTGCCAGATGGAAGTGAAACCGAATGTGCAGTGCATAATTAAAATCATAACGACGTTATCGAAGTACCATCGATGGAGCTGATCCTAATGGATCCAAATAGGCACTATAAATAAATTGCTACTAGAAACGTTTAATTACATGATGTGGATGTATATATATGTAAGAACTATAACTTTTAAGTGTTGAATTTTTGTTGACATTTTCCTTTAAAAGGAAAAATATTGATTATAAATAGAAAAAGTAATAATCAAACAAAACAAATTAAATCACTTGGTAGTTACTGAACTTTAAAAACGATTCCTTACTCACTGCTACTGTAAAAGACAACTCTTTGTACGATATAATTTGTGGAACAATGACTTTGTGTTATTCTTCTTTGAATAAGGTTGTAAAACTGCAGAATAACTATCAGATATTTTAGGGTAACAATATCAAATTATGCTGTTGGCTGTCAAAATGTAGCTTTGAGCAATGGTAGGGATATGTATCCGAGGATGAGTAGTAGCAGGAAAAATCTACGTATTTCGAGTTTGAACTTACAAAGGGATTTCCCCGAGTTTTGCACAAAATCCAGGTGGAATGCGTGTTTTTCCCATTTAAGTTTCTCATTCGTGTGTACACGTATTCGAGAGAAAAAGTCTCCAGCACTTGGCGTTCCTTCCCCTGTTTCCCGCTCGAGAAGGGGATTTTGGAAAAGAGAGAAGGCGGGCCCTCCTCTTCTTGACTCGCAGCGAGACGCAATTGTGAATTTTTCCTTCTGCGACGAAGGGACGAGTGGAAAGGTGCGTGGAAGATGCGGCAATGCGGTGCGAGTGGAGAGTCTCGAGGAAGAGTCTCGGAGACGATGAAAAATATGATTTCTTGCGAATCACGTGGTTCGTTACTTTTGAGCGCACTACTCTCGAGAACGGAAATTACGAGTTGGCTTATTGGTTTCGAAGATTTTGGAGAAAGAACCCCCATGATGGTCAATTTTTTTTTTTCAAACTAAAAAAAAAAATTTTTGATTCGGTCTTTAGGAAAAAAAGCTTATAAATTAGTAAATGAGTTGGTTGAATTAGGAATCAGCGTTAAGCAATCGTTTGGTTTTGAATATCTTCTCAAATGTGATTTCATATAGTCCAATTGTTTAAACATACGAGTCAAACTTTCAGTAAATGCAATCGACGATACATTCGTTGCGAATATGAATCGTGATGAAATATGAAGCCAAGTGCAGAGCTTACATTACAGGAGAAAATGAAATTTTTCGCTTTCAAGCTTTTCCTAGGCTTTGTCTTTTTTTTCGCCCGGAGCGAGATTTTTCTTCGCAGAAGTTTAGTTCACCTGAATTTGAGATCCACCTAAAATTTTTTCCTTCAGGAAATACCTCGTTTTATCGTTCCTTTTGGTATAAATTGATAATTCAAACATAATGTTTTTTAACACAATTTCTATTCGTAAATCATCCATTCTTTTTACTTCAATGATTAGTGAAAACAGTGCAATTCTCTTCTTTTTTTTTTGTTAACTCTAAATATTTGGAAAAAAAGATTGCAAGTACGGACGGGATAAAAAAAAAATCCATGCGTGCACTCAAATGCCATCTAAATATTGACGGCCCGCACACGTTTGACACACATTTTCAGATGCTATATAAAATGCTGGTAATTAATCTTTTGACGTTGGCCTGATGAATAAACTTATTTTTTAGCAAAAAAACTCAAAAGTCCTTTGGCATCCGTTGGATGACTATGTAGTTTTAAAGACTGTTTTTTAAATTTCGTATTACCAGGTAAGTTTCAAATGCACAGTCAAAGACTGTAAACAGTCGTCTAAATAAAAAAAAAAAAAAAAAAATCTCCAACTATCGTTTGGGCAAAACCACGCAGGTGCATATGACACAGAAGCCTCGGCCAATAAGAGCCAACGCTCGCCCATCCCCGAAACAATCGCAGCGCAATTTCCGCCGATCGCTCAGTGCCGAGCATCCGCCGCAAAACCCACGACCCAACTCAATCGGGCGCCAGTAACCAGCCGTCAATATAAAATTGACGTTCCGTAAAACACGTTTCGATCAATCCTCGACAACGACGGCGCGTCCACTAAATCATTCAAGCTTACACCAATGGGGTTTGCGGTCCTCTCCGAGTATGTATTTATAGTGGCAGCTGCGTCAAAGCCAAATAAATGCAAACAATGGCTTATTACCAGCTTAAATTTCGCCCGTGGTTTTATTAGTCGCGCGTGTCTTGTCAGCCTCAGGGTCGCGATCACGGGGTGGGCGTGCGTTAGTGACTTACGTATAGTGTCTGCGTATTTACATTTACGAAATCAATTCAATGATATTGAGGGATACTTATGTATAGAAATTTTGAACAAAGACTTGGATGGAAGAAAAAAATAAAGGAAGGCAAAGAAATAAAGATAAAGAGAGCTAGAGTCAGAGACAAATGTATATTATGTTGTAGAAACAAGAAGTTGAAACCATGAAAAATCTCAATTAAAACGGAGTAAAAAGAAAGGTAATAACTAAAAGTAAGAAAGTAAGATACTGTATTAACTAAGAGAAAGTACAAAGGTGTTTAAGTGTGCTAAAGTTTTTTTGCCCTGACATTCAAATACACAGAAAAAGTAGACACGCAGGTAAGCAGAACTAAGGGATGAACAGATACAACAAAAGATCTAGAAAAGAAGAGACATAAGTGTAGATGGAACAAAAGTAACGGAAACTTACAGCGCGTAGTCGAATGATTGACAAGTACCGTTGAAAGACAAGACAAAAAAAAACGAGACAAACGAAAAATTTGCATCAGTATATTGACTTGCTTTTTTGTAATATTTAGGCGTAAATGCTCGTAACCACATCATCTTCTATCTACCACTACTATCCGAGTAGTATCTGAGGCACCTTCAAAAAACGTAATTAATCTTATCCTCATGAGGCTGTCGTAGCGCAGAAAAATATTATTTATTACCTCGCTAGATACGCTGTGATATAAATTAAAAATATCTGTGCTCAATGCATGCCAGTAAAATAAAAAATAGTTGCCACGACAGCTTCGATAAACAAAGATTTAGTAGCGTCTTCCACTATATGATTGACACACATTTAAAGACACGAAACGACGAGTCAGTTAAAAATGTCCCGTCCACACTGCAATTGATTGCAAAGATATCAAAGGGATGCAAAAGGGCAGTGGTAATGGCACACACCGAAATTACACGTAACACCACTGATTGCGCCGAGAGGGATGATGATAATTCCAGGGGTGCAACCTTTGTGACGACGAGCTCGAATCCGCGCAAGTTCCTGCACCCTCTCGCCCCTTGCTTGTAATTTTCCAGGAAAATAAACGCGTCGCGCGTGAAATTTCTACACACTCTCTCTCTCTCTCTCTGCCGTCTCGTCTGCGAACACGTATGTATACATATATACATTTGCGCGACAAAGGGGGAGGAATGAGTTTGCGATACCACCGGGGCAGGTGGAGATAGCTCTTCCGGCCGACTCGACTTGTCTTCTCCCCCCGTGGTGTGCAGTGTGTACGTGTACCCACTCGCAGCCCCTTCGTCTCGTCTAAATGCGTCAACTTCGTGACGCAGCCGCGATGGTGATGCGCGTAGTCATGGGTCGAGTGGGACTTTAATGAAGCTATACGAGCACGGGCTCGGTCGCCACTCGCCACTGCCGGCCGACAACTTTATCTTTCTCCCGTTCTCTTTGCGTTTTGCGCTGTACCTTCTGCCACGGCCTATGACTGGATGTACGAGGGAGCAGTGGGAAGAGGGAGAGACAGATGTGTGGGCCACAGAAGACAAGAATTACTCAACGTTTTTTGGAGTCACGTAACAGCGTTCAATTCATCAAAACATACGATTTCCTTACCCGTCTTTAATGGATAAAAAGGGTGTTAATCGTTACTCGATTTCATCTATATAAGCTTATCGAAAACTCAATCGTAGGATCGTGATGAAGGGGGGAGGTATTTTCGAGGGATGAATTAGTAACCATCGAAATTTCAAATAAAAAATGGGAACCTTGCAAATTTCAAAATGAACAAAGCTTGTACTTATTGGTGATACTCTGGGTAAGGGTCACACAAGGGAATAACTCTACGCTCAAAATACTAGACTTTTCAGTTGACTTTTTCTATATTTTAATGCCTCGATAAGGTCAATTAAAATTCAGAGTAGGTAGCTTGTTATCGGCAGAGGATTTGTTTGTTTTGATTTCATTTTGAGATGAGCACTGTAATTAAAATGGAAAAGTCATTAAACTTTGATTTTCATAGAAGTTTCATAACTCATCTCAGAACTGCTGTAGCATAGAGATAAAGAAGTTTGTAAAATCTTTTTTCAACGAGACTGCTCACTCTTATCTTTTTTTTTTTTTTTTTTTTTTTTTTTTTTTTTTTTTTTTTTTATCTCTCTACTTATTTCGAAGTAATAAATTACTGAGACTGGGTCGCAATAAATGATGCCTAATCATTAAAATAAATACATTCAATAAATTCTTAAGAAGAAAAAAAAAAAAAAAAAAAGTCAAGATCACGGCAGCTATTTCGTAACCCTTGAAAGCAATAAAAATCTATCGATTCACTGGCCAATTTTTACTCGCCAAATACCTTGTCGGACGTTGTTACGAGGGATTTTTGATTGCGTAAAAAGACAAGCGTCGTCTCACGTCTCGTTGGGAAGTATGTTTTTAGTGATTAGCACAAACGAAACCTTACAGTGATGCAAAGTAAAATTAGATCTCGTACTAGAACACAATATAATCTAGAAATCATACGTTGGATTGGCTCTAAGTAGATGGTTGACATTAGATTGTACGTGTGTTGTGTAAATTTTTTCATTGTATCGAAAGTATACAAGACCGAACTAGAAAAGTGCCTTCACACGCTACGCTTAAACATCAAGATAATCAAGCGAAAAGACTTTCTTAGACGCCCGTCGGTTCAGAGTGGAAGTTAAGCAGCTGTTGAAATATTACTTCAGCACCGTTTTATCTTTTACCACGGAAGTATTTGACAAAAGAGAGAATAGTAACGACAAAGCTCCTAATGGAAGGAGAATCTCATAGTGGGGAAATCATAGGTATATATTTCAATGGATTCGAATGGAAAAAAAACCGTGTTGATGGAAATGGCACACTTAAATATTTGCGGTGGTAAGTCTCGTTCACAATATCCACAAATAATCTCACTCATGGAACGAAAATGCAAATCTTATCATGTAGATCGAGCTGCGCTATCAGCGAAATCATCCGGATTGAGAAATCTATTACGATGAATAACCAATGTTTGATGTGCCTATAAAAAAAAAAAAAAAACCATTCGATTTTCACTTACTCCACAAATAATCAATGTTGTTAAACCTAGTCGATAATTAGTTGTTAGTGCGATTGTCTGATCATCATCACTTTCATTTCTTTTTGGGTTCAAACTTCCCACATGACGAGTTTCCGTGCTTTCGTGCTAGTCGACGCTTTAAATAGTCACGCAATGAAACGGAAAATTTATACGTAAATTATGCGAGGCATGACTAGCTGTTGTTACCAGAAATTCCAAACAGATACGCAGATGTGGGAACACGGCAGTTTTTTTTGTTCCTCAAAAAGTAAATTTCCAAATCGTAAAAGCTTGAAACTTTGTGTATTCAACATGTGCGTGTATACATATAACCGTGAAATATTGAATATATAGCTTTCAAAGCGAACGAGAGGATGATGAGGCATAGAAAAAGTCACAGAAAAAAGGAATGGTTTGATAGACTGTACTTATGTGTTTCTGTGTTGACTAATACTATCTTTTGAAACTAAATATGGACACACCCCGTTTCGATGTATCTCCGTTGCTGTGCTATCGGGCAATCAGATAAAAGCTTTTTGTTCGTTTGGGTTTTTAATTTTTTTTTCTTTTTTTTCGTGCCGAAGTGACGTGGAAACAAAAAAATGCTCAAAACTGGTTTTTTTTTTTTTTTTTTTTTTTTTCACGGATCGCCTCATATTTTATACTGCTTTAGGAGTAATTATGAATATTATTTCATCAGAATCCATTAATCGATTTGATTCACCTGACAACAACTACGGTAACTTTGCACAAAATTCGAAGGTCTGCCAATAGGGATGAAAAAGCTCCTCCCTTTCCTTTGTTTTATTTATTCCGTACAATAAGACGCATCAGAAATTTCTTTTTTGTTTATTCCTCTCTTTTTTTTTTTAATGAATATTTTTCAGGGACTAGCATAAAAAGTAACAGCTAAAATCCTTACAAAAAAATGCAACTGAGAGTGCACAGTCACCTCCTCCATTTCTTACCGATCAAACAAGCTTATAATATATCGTCACCTACAAAAACACCGCCTCATGGTCGATTGATTTCCACGATTGGTGATTACTTTAATGATAATTACCGTGATACGCACACTTGAATACATTTAAATCACGCACCAACCGTCACAAAATATATCCGATTTTGAAACCCATACAACAAGTCACGTTATTTTTCAACTCGAGAAATATTTTTTCTACGTAACTATAAACACTCGACATGTACGCCCATCCCTTATACGCGTATACGGTAAACTTGAAAAAAATGAAAACCTGCCAAGGATCCAGAATTAAGTTTAAGCATTGAGATCTGGAATATATCTCGAGGGATGCAAACTACGGCGGCGCCGAGCGAAATGAGGGTTTTCGCGTCTCATTCCGGGGGACAAAGATTCGACACTGGTATGCAATAAGTGGCTTCGAATTTATCAAGAACGTTATATACGTACAAGCGGGTTAAGTATACCTCGGGTGTATGAAACTGCAGACAAATAAGCGGAAACCAGAGAGAGAGATGGTAGTGATCCGATATATTCCGGAAATGTTTGGCTTTGGGCCTGCTGCTCGGCGAACTTCTCCGCGCATTGCCTTTCTCCCTCGTTCTTCAGCCAGAGCCTCTATAATTACCACGTGCTCCCTCTCTCTCTCTCTCTCTCTCTCTCTCTTTTCTCTTCCACGCACCACTGCCAGCGGGTTTCCTCCCACGGCCGAGTTGGAATCCGAACAAACGCTCCCATGATATATATTCTCCGTGTGTACGTTATAATATATAACACGCCTCGAGAGATATTTGTACAGACGTCCACGTCTATACTGCCATGCACGCGTGGCTTCCAAAGCACATCAAAGATGTTCATTAAACGTACGAATTTTTTTTTTTCTTTTCGTCTCTTTGCGTCAAATCCTCGATAATTTATACATTCGACAATTGTATATGTCAAAGCAACTCATGGCGTAATTTTGTCACACAACTCTAGAACGACATATGAATAGTCACCAACGTTAACGAATCGTTCATATTCCGATAATCGGTTGATAATTTGACTCCTGCCGCCACAGCTGAGGTACACAGCAAACAACAAACAAATTAAACCCAAAGCAGGTCATAGGAAAAACAAAGCGTAGATTATGTCACTATAGGCACGCGTCGTATATACATATGTATATAAGCGAGGGAGACAAAGGTCTGACGCAGTTCGTATACACTCTCTTTCTTGTTTTTGTGGTGTATATTTAAATTACTTACAAATAAGTGCAAGATAAGAGGACGTGACAATGCGACAGTGAGCCTTACTCGACTAATCTGGAGCATTGTTGTTCGAGTCGCCTTTGTATGGTACTACAGTTACAGCACGTAAGTCGTGAAATGTATAAAAGCAAATACCCAATGTTCGACAGATTTTGATTTCCAAATTAACCATTCAGTTACAGATCTACGTCACTTGTTTTCTCAAGAAACAACAACTGTTCGTAATTCCATCGTTGCATCGAAGGAAAAGCATGAAGGAGCTGGAAAGAATAATCTTGGAAATGAGCGACACAGCAGACCTGGACGGGAAGAAAGTGATCGACGAGATAAAAAACCGGCTGCAAAAGAAGGACAAGGACGCGTACGACGAATGGAAGGACGACGGAAACTTCAGTGTGAACCACGTGTTCAACGACGACGACACGCTGTTGCACCTGGTGGTCAAATGGGGCACCCCGGGGATGTTGGAGGCTCTGCTGGGGCACGGCGGGCACGTGAACGTCCCCGACAACGTCGGACAAACGCCGTTGTACCACGCGATTCAATACGGGAACGTGCGCGTGGTGAAAACCCTGGTGAGCCACATGGCCAACGTCAACGCGTCCGACGTGCACGGGGAGACGCCTTTGCACGTGGCGACGAAGCAAGCGCCGCCCAGGCACAAGGTGGCCATCATCGAGACTTTGATGGAGCACGGGGCCAACGTGGACGCAACGTCCAGTTTCGGAGGTACACCCTTGCACGCGGCAGTTGGCTTGAGCCTGCTGGACGTGGCGAAAGTTTTGATGGACAATGGCGCGAACGTTAACCATTGGGGGGATTTCCGGCGAAACACTCCTCTGCACGAAGCCGCGAGGTACAGCAATGCTGATGTCATTCGGCTGTTGGTGGAAAACGGAGCTGACGTGAACGCGGTTGATTGGCTCGGTAGAACTCCGCTGTACGAAGCTGCAACGAAGGGCGCCCTGGACAAGGTGGAGGTTCTGTTGGAGCACGGGGCGGACGTCAATAAGGTCGACCACCGTCAGAACACTCCTCTGCACGTGGCTTTGGAGTGCGACACCGAGGATGTTGCCCTCGTTCTCGTAGGGAAAGGTGCCAACCTCACCGCACGAAATTACGATGGACAGGTGCCTCTGCATATCGCCGCCAAGAACAATCACTTCGAGGTTGTTCGTGTGATAGCCAACAGTGGAGCCGATCTTGATGCTGTGACCGCCGATGGTATGACGCCGCTGGGTTTTGCCAAGGAAGGCAAACACACGGGCATTGTTGAGTACCTTAAAGTCAAAATGGCCAACAAGGTGTTTCGAGGCATGAACGAAACTGTATAGGCCATAGTGATGTTCGGAAATCGTGGTTGACTTAGATCTCATAGGGAAAAATCAGGGCGAGAATGCGAGAATAACAGTAGTGTTGACGTTAAAAAGTATTCTTTATGTTGAAGAAGTCGTTTTTGAAGATAATTCTTATCTTCTCCTTCGTGTGACGTATCAGTTGAGTCATTGGGGGACGATTTCTATTTAGTTGTTAATGCTTATGACAAACACGCATTCCTTTTCAGTCAAAAGTTAAGTATTTTCCAAGAAAATTTAAAGATTCCACTGAAGTTTGTGAGTACATGGCACAAGTTTAACAGGCGCTTAAATCGAAGAAAAAGGTTTTCCTTTTCGTAAGTTATTTCGTGGACTTCAATAACAGCTGTTTGTTGAACCGGTTGGATATAAATATTTTAATTTATAACATAGAATTATTATTTGGAATTAAAAGTGTTGATTACACATTAAAAACCATGTCTGACACAAATTTTATGACTGAAAAACTTGTGTAAAATATCCATCCCATAATATGTTGTTTAAATTCGAAAAGCACCCTTATTTTTTAAAAACAGCTAGCAGGAAAAAGCGAGTTGTGGATAAAACTCCAGGCAGAGTGAGTTTCAACGACTTGTTAATATATACTTGTGTACCTCAAAAATCGTGACAACCCTTCTTCATATGCTTTCATTAAATTTATGTTGCGAATTGAGATTTAAAAAATTAAAAATTATATAAANCCGGGCTTACCAATTTTTGTTTCACTTTTTAAATTTTGTGCCAAAGTTGCGGATCTCTGGCTGTTTGCTCTGTAAACATGGTAGACGTTTTTCTCTGCTCCTGTACCACTGTCGTATTGCTTCTACTGGTAAGTCCTTCAATAGTACTTAACTATACTTTAAATTATACATTCGGTTCAAAGATTGAGCATATTTTTTCTTAAACAAAGCTCTTCAATTTTATCTAGTGCATGGATTTTTGAAAAGATTTCTATGTCCAAAGCAGTTTTTAGAAAATTATTCCGGCGATGTTTACAGGAAATTATGATATCAGAAAAAAACAATTTCGGAACACATTAAAGATATATTTTTTGAACTTTGAGCATCAGACAGATCATTAACAGCTAATAGCTTGTTTTCTTTGAACCGCATATTAAAATCCCATTATGGTTCCAGAAAAGACGTTCTTCTGATAATTGATTTTAAGAAGATATCTTTCACGCTGTACTACATTTACGAGTTATTGTAACAACAGCGTACACATCATTTTTCATTAATAGTTTTTTTCATTTAACGCACAACTTATCATCATGGTGACGAAAAATGTTCACACAATCGTATTTTTTATTGACACTTGAGTAATACTTAAAAAATTACACTTTGATGTCAGCGGTCTGTACACGACCAGAATTATGTCTGGACTATTTTTTACTTTTCTATCTTAGGGGCATCATGTGACCATATATTTTATACTCGTATATAAATTTTCAAATGTATTGTATTAAATGTATATACTCTTAGAGATATGTTAGAAGGAATGATATATTTTAATTGATAATAAGATAGGCATTGCTTAAATTTGAAACTGATTAAAAAAAGAAAAAAAAAAAAATTAATTCAGTCAATCTAGAAGTTATTGTTGTAATACAAAGAAAAAATTATTATTTGAAAAAAATTATCAATATGTCACATAATCGTAAAAATAAAGGTTTTACGTATAATTTATGTTCTATGATTAATCTCTTTTTCTTCCCACGCCAGCAATTATTTTAGCATAAGGTATTTTCAACTTCTAAATGGTCAATTACACCACGATAACCTTCATAATTTTAACATCGAAGCTTTATTGTTGTATCATCCCTCTGAAGAAAAATGGTCGATACTTTATCTAAAAAAATATCAGTAATGCCATTATGACACACAACTTCAGCCTTTGTGCATATGACTCAACGTTGTACATGTTAAAGGATAAAATCGTCGTTGTAGTTGAGGCTCTACCTCTATAAGGACCATTAAAGATAGAACGAAAGAGAAGCCAAAGCCAAAATCCCGCATATATCTCGTGTCTGCAGGGTCGCAAGTAGTAACACTCGCGATAGCGTCGGACATTACTTCATTTCGAAAATATTCTCAGAAATAAATTGTAAGTTTTGGCGAGAGAGAGAGAACAAAGTACGGATGCCGATGGGATCGAGGCCACGCAGTTTTGGTTCGTTTTGGTCGGCTCTTCATCTTTTTCTCCCTCTCGATCTGTTTTTTTCCTGGGCCTTGTCACCTTTTCATTCGGTGTTTTGTTTCGAAGCACTTACAATACTTGGAAAAAGTAAATTTTACCAAAAGATGTATTTTACATTAAAATTTTTTTCATTTTACGATGAACTGTCGAACGTTTCTAGCATTTCAAGAATATCTGATAACTTATCAGTAAAACATATAACAAACGACTCTAGTGAAATTACTATCACGTTATTAATTGGTTTGAAAAAAAGCGAACTCATTATCTAATTAATTATTAATATTACTGGACGAGAATTCAATATTTTGAGTACCGACTTGAATAGCATTATTTAATTTTAGTCTACAACACATGTTTTTGTTCAATTCCTCATCGCATCAACAAATGATAATACTTTTTTTTTATGCATTACATAAATCTTTATTGGATATTTAATAACACTTGAGAATAATAATAACGGTATGAAAAAATTAATGCGTTTTTCACACGTAATAATAACTTAAAAAAAGAATGCAATAAAAAAGATTTTGCGTGATCTTGCATTTAATATGCGTATTCGTTTTAATTTGAAGAATTAACTTTATAGAGTGTCACCACTAATAAGCGTTTTTATAAAAAAATTTCACTTTTTATGAACTTCGACTTTAAGTACTATTCGCAGGAATCAAAAAGTGGAGGAACAGTATTGTTCGCAGTAGGTCGCAAAGTGCCTCAAGATTTTCTAGCCAATGGAGGGGGTGGAGGAGCAAAGGCTTAGGGAAACTCTTGAGTGTTCGACGTAAGAGAATCCGTGGGAAGTTCGAAAAGGGGACCAAAGGGGAGACAAAGCAATGAATGGATCTTGGAAAAGTGCGAAAAGACCTTTCTTGTACTATGGATGCCTTGGTAATAATGCCTCGTCAAAGCGAAACTTTCCAAAAAGTTTCCACTGCTTCGGAATGACGTTCCCGTGGAGTTGTAAATTAATGTACTCCTGCAGGCCTACGTTATTTGACGAACAAATAAATTATTTTTTCCCCTCATTCAGCGTATTTACGATGGAAGTACATTTTTTTTTTTTTTTTTTCAGCATAATTAAAAACTACACAAAATACAAAATTTTTAACCGTGTATGACCGGAAATGTTGGTATCCCACCGAGATTCCTTTTTTTGACGTCAGGGAGATGATAAATGTCAAAACAGTAATAGAGAGACGAAAAAAAAAAAATAAACGGGACCAATGAATGCTCTGCTCATGGTTTGCCTCTGCGTTATCTCGTCAGTTAGTTGTGCTTGTAAGTTCGATAACTCTTTATTTTTTCTAATTAGGTTATGGCATCTATTTATTGGTGCTATTTAAAGCTCATACTTTTAAAATAGAATTTTTTTTTTTTTTTTTTTTTTATCATAATACGCTATGTTTCGTCGAGGACAGTTGTTTTGATAAATGTTAACTGACGCGTGTTTCTTATCTGCTGAAATATTTTTGGAACTACTGCACGTATACGTTATTTGCCAGTAAATGTCTAATATTATTCAAAATACATTGTCCGTGAAAGCAAGAAAATAATATGCTTTCTGATTACCTGAGTCGTTCAAGTTCACATGATTGCACCCACACATTGAATACTATACGAATAGAAGTAGTCTGTGTTTTTTTTTTATTGAAGAACTGTAATGATAAATAAAAGTAATCAAAAGTTGACCTATAAAATAAGAGTCACACATGTAAAATAATGCATTAATTTGCTTTCCGCTCTGGGCACATGTGTATGAGTTTATGTATCAATGACACAACATCTAGATCGTAAACTACAGGTGTCATAAAATTTAACAGAAAATTATAAAAATCTATTTTTTTATTTCAAAATGATAAATGCTTGCTGCATAATTTATTTATTTCACAACATGTTTGTTGGTGTAGTATATTGCTACAGTATCAGCTCATACTGTAGTCTGGTATAACAATTTTTTTTTTTTTTTTGAATTCTACTTTTTAATTTCAATTTTCTTACTATTTATTGACATTTCTACTTTATAAAATGTACATAAAGTCAGGCTGATCAAATAAACGCCTGTGGGCTTGGAAAATAAAATACAATAAAATGAACACATTTTATGCAACATCAATAGTACGTGGTACCTCACGAACTGTAATTTGTAAAGAAAATAGATATTGTAAATTAATAGTAAATCAACAATTTTAGAAAAAATATTAAGATATACAATTTTCATATGGGTATGAACTTTAAATTTACCCATATTTGGCAGTAAAATAAATATTGCATTCATTATACATCAAATTTTTAAGGTGGTCAGTTTACTAACATTATTTAATTTATTTATGACCTAATACATTGATCCATTGCAAGTCTGTTATATTGCCCATTATTTTGTGACAAAAAAAAATTTGTTCACTTTAATTCTACAATTTTTCTTTTTTGCACATTACTTATACAATAACACTGTCTCATATATAATTAAAAACATATAATTAGTTTTTGATGTAGAGTTGTGCCAATGAAGAGCATTTTTATAGTACAAATTCTGCACAAGTGATGAAAAAATTTAGATCCAAGTGTTGTGCATAAATATTGCGGTTAATATATGTTTTGTCTTAAATAACCAATAAAATGTAGCAACTTGAGTTGAATGATTCATTCAATCTTCTCAAATTACTCTTATTTGTACTAATTTAAATAGTTATTAAAAAAAAAACAAAACAAAAAAACAGTTAATTTCCAATGTCTACTCTTAAAAATGAGTCACTTTTATCAAACTTGAAAATAATGTTCATCAAGGCGAGACGACATTCAATTGGTACATGTATGTTGCAATGACAGAAAAAAGTATAAAATAACTACGCACTGGGAAGATAAGGCATTGAATATAAGCTAACATCGATCCAGAAATCGCTTTATAGTGTTTGAGACTACGACTTGTACAGTTTTAAAGATGACGGTGCACAAATTGTATACATCCAAGTAAATCACCAACTCTGTGCTTGAATTTGCAATGGTCAACTTAGTTTTTACCAAAGTGTCAACAGACTTTTGTAAGTAAGTACTTTGCACACGTAGTTATTGATACGTTGTATGTACTCATTTCTTGTGAAAAAAACTAAATTTCCTCGTAATGAACAATTTAAAATTCAAAAATGCATTTTTAATAATGACAGAAAAAAAGGCTAAAATATTTTTCTCTAAGTTGTTATCGATAAGTTATTATTGAAATAACAGTCATGTTGGACTTGTCAATTGAGAAAATATTAACAAGGAAATAAAGTTTTTTTTAACAACAAACATGAAAATTTCCCACGACGAAATGAGAAAAACTCGAGCTCTACTTTGCATTGGCGTATAAAAACCTCTTTCATGTTCTGCACGGTAAAAGCAAAGTTCCCATAAAGTTAAGAAAGGCAAATAACAACATAACGAGTGATTCTTAAATCTCTTTCGATTTAGCACGAGTTTCGATTGATAAAAATGCAGCGGTGACCCTGTGCCAGTGGCGACAGCTGCTGTGAGTTAAAAAAAAAAAAAAAAAAAAAAAAAAAAAAAAGTAGCGAAACGACGAGACATGCACTACATACATCGAACGAGGCTCCAAAAATCATCATGCACGCGCACACCCACTACATGCCCAAGTCTAACGGTACGCGTTATCACTCGGTGAATATATATCTAAGACTTCACTCAATTAACGTTTCAGAACTTCAGTGTGTTAGAAGGAAGATATGCACGCGATTCATGTGATAAGGACAAATGACTTTTTTCTTGCCAATGTTGCAATTGTTTAAAGTAACACAAGGAAAAGTGGAATTAAGACACAAGTTACGAAGAAAAAAGAAGAAAAGTTGGTGATGTTTACGGTGGTCCATCTAGACAGAGCACAAGCCATTGAAAACAGAAAGAAACGTACAAAGTGTCCATGTAGCCATGTGAATTTAGATTTTTCATGTCACGGATAGCGGAGGGACGAAAAAAATAACACGGTGAGTGGCTCATTAGTTCTCAACTTCAGTTGTTATCTGTGTCATTTTCGGTGATACTAATCACAGTGCGACGACATCGGGAAAAATGTTCAAAGCCAGGGAGCACCGATTGTCTCGACTGATAATCTTTTTTTCCTAAGTGTCGTAGCCACGGCAGCCACGGTAATTAATAATAGATAAAGACAGTTATTTTTCACGAGAATGAAGAAAAGTGGGGTATCGCTGGTAGGTTTCTTGACATCGATTATTTAAAAAAAATAATAATTTGTTTACAAAAAAATAATAATTTGTTTACAAAAAAATGACATACTTTGGTGTTAATCTTTTCGAAATTACATTGAAACAACGGCCTAAAATATCTTTCATTAAAATTTTGTTGTCTTACGTATTAATTTTGTCAAATGGATTTTTTTAAAGTTCTCACTAAAAACAAACAAAAATAAGTATAGTTCCCGTGCTGGAATATGAATCGAATGAACAATTTAGGAATCTTTTGTATACATTATGTATTATATAAACTAATTTCTCGTTGAAAGGTTAATTTTTTTACTTTAATTCACGGCTGCTTGTCGAGTAAATCATAAGCTATACAATTGATATCAATGCCGAAAAAAAATTGTAACGTAGTATACACTTTGAGCAGCGTAAAGGCGCGTTATGCAAACTTTTACGTGTAAAAAAAAAAAAAAAAAAAAAAAAAAAAAAANCAGTTAAAAAAAAATTTTTTTTGATGAATACTTGTTGTTAAAAAAAAAAAAAAAAACCAAATCAGAATCATCAAATAAACCATTCCAGAACCATTTGATTGGTTTCATTGTTGTATTTAAAAATTTAATGTTAACATTTGCTTTATAAGCAAGCAAACTAAAAAAGAATCGTCTTAAACTCAATAAGTTAGGACACTGCCATTTTTGAGATCAACTATAACTACAAGAATTTAAATTGAAGCACTTAAATTGATGGTTGAAAAAAAAAAAAAAAAAAAAAGAGTGAAACGTTCGATAATAGATAATAGACGTATTTTGCAATTCTCGTGCTGCGTGAGCTTCTTCTTATGCCGCTCACCTCCCCCCCGCCGTAAGCAAACAATACCGTTGATTTTTTGTAAGCTTTCGTACAGTGTAACGCATCGTTAACGTATATAATTTAACATTTGTCACGACTAACAAGTTGATTTTGGATACCCTCCATACCCCACCTTCCCCGAGTTTAATTAACCGACTTGTTCGTAGTCTAGCGCTATTATTTATATATTATCGTCGTATGTGTGCGCACATGTCCGAGGGAAAGGAAAGAAAGAGAGACAGTATTGTACCACGAAAAGTTCGGGGAGTTACGCTTTGTTCGATTAACGATAAGAGGTTGAATAAAAGTCGGTTGCAACTGAAGTTACTGCTGATTTGATTGACCAGTGTCAAGAAGCAATTCACCTTGACATCGGTGCTCCTGAAAAATTGGATTTCGACTAGAGCCGGGCTTACCAATTTTTGTTTCACTTTTTAAATTTTGTGCCAAAGTTGCGGATCTCTGGCTGTTTGCTCTGTAAACATGGTAGACGTTTTTCTCTGCTCCTGTACCACTGTCGTATTGCTTCTACTGGTAAGTCCTTCAATAGTACTTAACTATACTTTAAATTATACATTCGGTTCAAAGATTGAGCATATTTTTTCTTAAACAAAGCTCTTCAATTTTATCTAGTGCATGGATTTTTGAAAAGATTTCTATGTCCAAAGCAGTTTTTAGAAAATTATTCCGGCGATGTTTACAGGAAATTATGATATCAGAAAAAAACAATTTCGGAACACATTAAAGATATATTTTTTGAACTTTGAGCATCAGACAGATCATTAACAGCTAATAGCTTGTTTTCTTTGAACCGCATATTAAAATCCCATTATGGTTCCAGAAAAGACGTTCTTCTGATAATTGATTTTAAGAAGATATCTTTCACGCTGTACTACATTTACGAGTTATTGTAACAACAGCGTACACATCATTTTTCATTAATAGTTTTTTTCATTTAACGCACAACTTATCATCATGGTGACGAAAAATGTTCACACAATCGTATTTTTTATTGACACTTGAGTAATACTTAAAAAATTACACTTTGATGTCAGCGGTCTGTACACGACCAGAATTATGTCTGGACTATTTTTTACTTTTCTATCTTAGGGGCATCATGTGACCATATATTTTATACTCGTATATAAATTTTCAAATGTATTGTATTAAATGTATATACTCTTAGAGATATGTTAGAAGGAATGATATATTTTTTTTAGAAATTTTTATTTCTATTCCTTGACATTTCTTGTCTAAGAGAATTAGACTGAATATGGATTGAGACATTAACTTTTTTATTCTGTAACTTAATTTTTTTTGTAATTTTACAGGTATCTACGAAAATTCTTTGTGGTGAATCGGCTCAAGTCCCTGATATCAATGATGTAAGTTGATTTAAAAATCCACTGAATAATATAATAAACTTAGTTACAAAATATCAAATGAAAAATGATTGTTTCAACACGTGTTTTAGAATCCTTACGTCGAGGAAAATAAATTACATTTTCTTGATGAGCGTGACTTTAGAAACTATTCAAAACGTCACGAGGAATACCGAAGAGCTGATTATCCGTTCAAAAAAATTGCGGAAATTATGAAAGCATTGGAAAAAAATTCTATAAATTCAATAAAACCAATCAGAAAAGATTCACCGAGTACAAATGTAAGTACAGAATAAAAATCACTTAATCATCCGTTACAATAAACTGTATATATTTTTAGAACATAGCAAAGGCTGACATGAAATATCCCACTTCCAAGGCATCTAGGACGCGTATGTCAAGGTATGTAAATTTCAGCATTGAAAATAATTTTTCCGCCCTCGGGTGGTTTTGGGAGGCTAGTACTTCCTCGGGCGAAATAGCAGTTTTCCGGAACTCGTTCGAAAAGTCTCCTTTACGAACCTCGTTACGGACCTCGCCTTCGGCTCGGGCCGCAAACCTCTCGGTTCGCAAACAGAGACTTTTCAAACTCGTAGGAAAACTACTATTTCGCAATAGTGTGCGGAAAATGGGTGTTTTCAGCACTGGTATTAGTGTGGAAAATCGATTTTCCCACATAGTGTGCGACAAAGGTTTTTGTCGCACAGTGTGTGGAAAAAGTGTGTGGCAAAGGTTTTTGCCGCACAGTGTGCGGAAAAGGTGTGTGGAAAAGGTTTTGCCACACACCGGAAAAAATTTTGCTACACACTGGAAATCAAAATTCAAACCTATTTTGTACCTATTTTCCTCCCATATTGCGAAAAAACTTGTACGCAACTCGTGCGGGACGATTTCCCACACTCGTGTGATAGACTCGCACTCGTGGCCGGTGACGGCACTCGTGTGAGTCAATCACTACTCGTGCTGGAAATCGTCTTTTCCGCACTTGTTACGTAAATAACTATTATTTTTTTTTATAACGAAAAAAACGAGGTGAGATTGGTTATTCAATTCTCTGATTTATCTCTTAGACGAATGAAATTAATTATTAATACATTTTGTAGCTTACACCGAATAGGCGACACTAAGTGCATAGAAGATGTAAGTTTTTCAAACTATAAATTACATTCCAATTATATTTAATCGTTTTCTCTTAATGTGCTAAACAAGTAACTTTTATAATGTAACTTTAAGGGCATAGATTTTCATACACCATCTTACTTTGGTAAAATTTAATAGTTTCACAACGTAAAAATTAATTAAAAAAAGTTTTTCCTTGAAATGTGTAAGAAACAAAAGAGCAGTGAAAAATTATCAGGTGTACCTTTGAAGTAAAAATGTTGGATGGATGATAAATTATATGCAAAAAGCTGATGACAGCATGGTTTCATTACTAGCCAAAATAATGCACCTACGGATTTTCCAATTTTTTTACGAGAAGGAAATTTTGAAAAAAAATCCACGGATTCCCTGCAAAACGCGTAAAGCCCTATTTTAATAGCACATCATGATAAATTGAGATGGTGGTGAACATGTGAGGTGAATTGAAACTCGAAAAATATTGATTTTTCACTTTCATTTCTTTACAGCAATATGAACTTTTTTTAATCAGAGGAAAAGACATTTATGGAAAAGACTACTATATTGTTAACGTAGAGGGTCATCAGCAAAAAATGAATTACATTTTCTGCCGGTATGTGGATTGTGACATTACAGTCGATTCTTTAAAATAAGCTATTTTTATTTATCTTTTTCTTTCATACTCAGCAATAAAGGTGATAAATGTGGGGATAAAAGTAGAACTCCAGAAAATTACGATGATTTTTGCGATGAAGCCTATACCACAATTGAATTGATGGCATTTCTTACAACTGAGGAAATAACGCCGAAAGCTGTGAGTAGAAGACCTTTCAACATACCGATTGGCTGCAATTGCTGGTCAAAACGAAGACACGAGGACGTGTGAATATTTCCAAGTGAATGAAAACGAAAAACTCTAGACGTTTATTATAAAAACACTGAAGAGATCACTGTCAAATATTTATATCCTGTTGGAAGCGTTGGATATCTGTAGGAATTAAAAAAATTTGTAGCCTTTGGTGTGAGTGCAATGTTTATTTTTGCGAATGTTGAATTTTACACAATTTAAACTTAATTCAACACTTAGCGATTTAATTTATAAATATGTTATGGTGTTAATGTTTATCAACATTAGTCATAGAACATTAATTGTATGTACATAGTATAGTACACACTACCCTTACAAGGGTGACATTATGAAAGTTGGCAACTTTGAATGGTTATACTGTATTTTATTTAATTATGTCCTTTATAGTAACTTACTTTCTTGTATACTTAACGGGTGTCTAGAGAAATTAGAAGTAAAACAAAGTAACATTGAAAGTAAGTACAAGTAGGAATTAACTTATCAAATTGACCTCGTTTACAATAAACTGATATGATAAAATCTAAGACAAAGAAGTTTTTTTGCTATCATTTGCATCAAATAAAAAAAAAAATGCTCTTTTCTGAAGAAAATGTCAAAAGTGTATTTTCTGTATAAATATTGTATGTAAAAAATATTTGAAAAGCCAAGTATTGGTGTTCAGTTGTTATATAAACTGTGTGATATTATTTACAAAAAATTAAAAATATGGTTGTGTATGTTGTATCAACGATTGTTCAAATCTTTAAATGAATTTAGAATAGATAAAATTACGGAGATTGGAATTATAACTCTCTCTGAAATTTCTCGTTATCATTAATTGTTTTCCTAAGCATCGAATAAGTAAACGCAACTTTCAACGTAATGTAGATTAATCAATGTAAACAAGTATAAGTTAATAATATGCATACCTTTCGACAATCCACAAGCTTTTATTTGATTAGTAATTAATTCATACCCCTGTATAATCTACGTTGATAATTATCTGTGATGAATTTTTATGTTAGAAGTAGGTAATAGTATGTATTTTAATAAGAGCAAATGGTAATAACATTGCATATCTAAAAAAAAATTTACTTAGTATTCATTATTTTGTATTTAGTTGTAAAAGAACCTACAGAGCGTTAACATTCGATACAAAGTGTGACGTACTAAAATTTAGCTTCCATCGAGTGCGACGTACGAAGCGTCTTACGCAAGCTGATAAATACGATAAGTGACGTTTGATGGCTCCGTGGTGACGAACTGTCTACCCTGAACTGATAAACTGGCGTCAGTCGTAGATGGAAAACATTTGACCATCGAAAAAAGTACGAGTGAACGCCGTGAAAAAATAAAAGACATTCCTATTAATACTTCACCGATGATCTACGCATCGTGTCCATATACGTGCTGCATTGTGGGGTGTTATATTGATGATCCATAAACGTTCAAACTAGCCTATTTGTTTGCGGGATTATCCGACACTTGTGATTCTTTTGATGTTTTCCCATGAATACTGGAAAAAAAATGTACCAGTCATCTTCATGAATCACGTTTAGAGGAATCTTGATTTCGGGGGATCTGGGTACGATGGTTTGTCACGCCATGGAGTTGATTGGGAAAAAGCGAAGTAACGTGTAACAACAAAAAAAAAAAAAGGTCAAGGTTGAGTGGTTTCGTCACATGTATCTTATGTACTGGTCGTACGAAATATTTCTGAAGACACGTGTGTACAATTAAATACAACCGAACTCGAGCATTGAAATCACTTGATAAGAGGACCTACGTATCTCTTTGGCATACGCAACAACAATGTATTGTATACGGAAATACATACTTGTAACTGACGTCGAGACACCCTGCCAAAAAGGTTTATTTGTACTTATAAAACAAATCTTCTATTATATAATATAAACAAATTCTTTTGTTACTGTAAAATTGTATAGTATAGTAGTCTTGATAAACGTTTTAAGAAAAATAAAATTGAAGCCTCGTAAATTACTTCATCTATTCCATAAAACTAAACAATTTTTTTTTTTTCTTCAACCGCTGATATAAGAAGGCTGTAGAGAGTAAAATATTTCTGTCACAGATTTTACACGTTTGTAAGCGTGCTGAATCTGACAGACAAGTTTTTCCACTCCAAACCTTTCCTACATTGATTTTTCTCGTTCAAAAGTCTCTCCAGTGCATCATAGATTTACAGTTGTCCTTATAATCATTATCCATGCCATAATAATGTATTTTATATAAAAAATAAAAATTGTAACTACACACTTAGAAGGTGTACTTTAACACGCTTGGATTTACAGTAATACACAAAAAGAAAACCATTGTAAAAATTATACTCTAAGCAAACACTTGAAAACTGTACAAGAGACACCTTGATCCATTATCCAACAGTTAAACGTGCGTTCGTGATAAGTAGGTATATACTTGGGACAAGTAACAATGAAAACTAAAACAATTTTTTTTTTTTTTTTTTTTTTTTCTGCAAGAGAAAAAGGGAAGGGAGAGCTAATCACCCGCACTGCGTGTAGAAATGATGATTATTGCGCAGACTCATTATCAACAAGCACAACCGGACGAGGACTGGCACTGGCTATCGTTCGCGCATTGCGGACGGCACGTCGACGTGCGTAAATGGCGCGTTAATATTCGCATCATAGCAGAGACGGGGGGAGGGGAAGGGGCTTTTCTCGAGTGTCGGAGGAGAGAGAAACAGGAAGCCGGAGTCTGAGGCCGGTTCTGTACATGAGCGCCAAAAGTTACCGGGCCTTCACCAGTGACGTTAACGATAAGTGAAAGTCTCGCGTGCGCGCATCATCTGCATGGAAGTGCGTCTGCACTTTGCTTTCGTGGAATCCCATGCGTGTACCTTTTTCCTCCTCCGATCTGAATCGGCCAACCTGATTTCGACTATTTTTTATTGTCGCAATGAGGAAGCTTTTTTTTTTTTTTTTTTTTTTTTTTTTTTTTTTTTCTCTACCTGAGAGTTATTTCGGGAGGATGCTGGAATGCCACTGGATTGCAGGATGTGGCTGATAACAGAACCGAAAGTTATTTATAGCTTCCAACTGCCGAATCTTTTAAATGGAGAGCTATTGTTTTAGAAAGTCCTGAAAGCATTTGTGCGATGAGGTTGTGCGCCTAGAAAAAAATGTGGTAGGCGTATCTTCAATCATTAATTTCTCTCTCTCCTATGGTTATTGAAGAATTGGTCGTCTCAACTGTCGTGTACGAGTAAATATCTTCGAACAAGTAGCTCGTGTATTTTGGCACTTGAGTAGAAGTTTTGATGTTTTACTGACGTCCAACGGAAAAAAAGGTATAAGTGACATAAATGATGAACTGAGAAAATCGATGAAAACTAAGTCTTAAAAAATGAATGATTATTTGGGTATTGGACCGCGGAAAAACTGTTTTTTATATAAATATGATATAATTATTCTATTTCCCACAAAAGAAAAACGATTTTTCGATGGGAACTATGAAAATCTGTACTTACCCTTCTAACTTGGCGCAATTTCCTCGTGAAAAAATACAGCTTATTCCATGAGGCTTACCCTTTTTCTAATTTGGAATCAAAGGCGGTGATCATCGATTTTACAACGTAAAAAAAGGGTAAGTGTATGTACGATGTGTGTCTAGCGCGATTTCCACGTTTTGTGTTACTTACCCTTTTTTTTTTTTTGATTGCTAACGAAAATTATTAAAAATTTTTCCAATTTTCAGTGAATTATTACTCAATCACGGTATAAGATATTTTTATATATAATTTGTAGATGTACTCATTTTCGACAAAAATGTCACTTATACCTTTTTTTCCGTTGGACGACAGTTTAGATGAAAGGGATTTTGGGTAGGTTTGCATTGAAAGTAAAAAGAGACTAATAGATGTGATTGAAAGAAATGCTATTATTATTATTATTTTTTTGTTTTCATAACTTTGATTCTTTTTCCACGCAAGTGAAAAAATAAGAAAACAATATTCAAAACAGTTGCAAAAAAAAGTAATTTCTGACGATTAAAATTATTTGTTAGTTGTACTTCAATTGAACACAGCACCATCTGAAGATTTAATTATATTTAATTGTTTTATTAACTATTTACGAAAATCATGTTTTTCAATAAAACATTAACTGATGAATATTCCATTAGATATGTTGCCTACCTCGACGTAAAAACAGTGCAATTGGGAAATTTTTATCTTCTTACAATTTGTCATTATAATAATACACAGGGGATAGACTGTACTAAAACTTTTTGTTGCTTTGCAACATTTCTGGTAAACACTGTCTTATCAGAGATAACTGTAAGTACATAGTAATAAGAAACAAGGCTTGGTTATTATATTTAAAAAAACAATACATTTTGGTGATTAAAGATTCACTCGTTGACCAGCAAAAAAAACAGTAAAAAAAATTTTTTTTTCTTGTAAATATGCCGTAAGGGTATATGGGAGCAATAGGGTAACAATAAATAATTCAAGTAATAAACAAATAAGTTGTTAGATACAAAAGTACAAATTAAATACTTCAACCGAATTGTAAACATAAAAAGACTTTGAAGTATATAATTAAAACTTTATTCCTGTAAAGTGTACATGACACACTACACTTCATACCATGCCCATGCCAAATGCCTAATTAAAAATACCATTACTATACTATATCTTTAACATTATTTTAATGCCAAAGGGATGCATCAAAATGTCTTAACTCCATAATTATAAGATTGATTTAAAAACTAAATTTTTACAAGCAATAGTGTCAAAATACACTGGTTCAACACAATCGGGCGACAAGAGATTTTTTTTTTTGCATTTAGCGCAGACCGATAAGGTGACTCCTGAGGTCCCAGCATTTCTTGGTTTTACCTGTTCATACACGTAATTATTTCACCTACTCATCCCATGGAAATACGCGTGGAATATGTGCATCACGGTCGTGCGGTGACGAAACCAATGAGTAAGCAGAAAATTTCGACTCGTTAGCCGGGGCCCCGAAGTGATGTACGTGATAAATTTCCACGTAAAAATGTGTACAAGTTTCCATCCACGACTCAGAGAGGCAAACAACAACACCAACAACGCGTGGAGTAGAAAAAACAAAAAAAAAGAAAGATACTGGATGACTCTGTTGAGTTGCATTGAGATCTTGTCCGCGTGCTTGACGTTACGAAACTGACGTCATCAGGAATTTCGATGCACCAACTTTCACGTCACCCACAGCCACCGCCGTCTCTCTCGGCCGGCCGGTCCGTAGCCCCAGCGCCAAAAGGAACAAAGAGAAACGGAGTATGTGTGATTATCGGAAAGCGCGCGAGGGCCTACCGGGAGCGGAAAATAATTGAATTAAAATGCGTGTGTGCGATACAGACGCGGGGGCCTGTGCGTGAATGTGTACACGAGAGCGCCGTACATGTGAAGCACCGCGGCGGCTGTTGTATATATGTACATATACGCACGGTCCACACGCATCGGCGTTACGTCGACACCGGCCGAATGATAACTGATAACGGACTCAAATAAAAAGTGAGCCATGGTCCAGTAAGCTCGTTAGACGAGAGCAAATCTTCGTTAGGTCAACAACGCGTCGACTCCACGGTT